GGATGCACTGAGAGGGAGCATTCGGTGACTTGAGTCCCTGGGCCTCTGATACCCACATGGGAGACGCAGATGGAGTTTCTGGCTCCTGGCTTCACCTGGTCCTGTCTTGGTGGTTGTGTGCATTTGGGAAGTGCACCAGTTAATGGGAGACTTCTCTCCGTGTGTCTCTCTCTCTACCTTTCAAGTAGGTGAAAATAAGTAGACATTTCTTTGACTGTATTTTTTCTTATTATTTGGAGGTTTGCAGTTTTATTAAGAAAAAGATGAAGGCAAACCAAACTGAAAGGCGGAGTCTCCATTCAGCAGCGCCTGAGTGTACCGGACATCCAGAGTGGCACATAGGGTTGCGAGTGGGCTCTGTGCTGTCCTGTTGGCATATGAGTGCCCTGACACCCAGGACCAGCTGCCTGTGTCCTCCCTCAGCCTGTACGGCTCATCGGGATCAGTGGGAGCGGACAGCAGGCTGAGTAGTGCACAGGCCAAGGAAGGCAGTCTGGGACCCTGACTGAGACAGGATGGTGAGGGTTGTCCAGCCATGGGAATGTTGTTAACGTAGCTGAGCTGCATGCTCTAAAATTCTGTGTTTTGTGGACTCTGCTCGATTAAAGGAAGCAAACAGGTGTTGTATCAGGTCTGGCCCGCAGGTGCTGGGATAGTGACATCTGGGGACATCTCCTCAGCTGGCATGGGTCTGCCGTGCATCCTGGAGACTCCTGTCCAGGCCTTGGGTCTGCGGATCTTTCACCACTGTCACTTCTGCTCCAGCCTCATTTCTCTGCTTACTGAGCCTTGATGTCTCACGGTGTGGCTCCCTGACTGGAGGGCACACCTTTGGATCTTCTTGATGGCAGCCTGAGAGGGGCTGAGCTATTTTGCATCCTGGGAGGCGTCTCCGTCCAGGCTCCCTGCTCCTTGGCAGCACAACCTACCTACTGGGGGCCCCCTTCTGCTTCTACCTGGACAGCCTGACCTGCTCTCCTCCTGGCTCCTACTGCCCAGCCCCCTACCCCAGGATACCTTCCCATGCCCCACGGGTGACACCTGATCCTGGGTCTCAACCCACAGTGTCATTCTCCTGTAGTATCCCATTGTGGGACAGACTCTGCAGCTGTGGTGGAGGGCCCTGAATCAGCGACTGTGTCACTGTAAAGGGAGACGATGTGTGTGACACTGAGTGAGGCAGCCAGGGCCTGAGGGGACCTGACATTCACCTGGACTTGATTAAGAACCTGACCGTACATCAGCTCACCCCACAGGAGCTTCCGAGCAAACCACCCAGGCCAGGTATAAAACAGGGATGCAGCCCTACAGCCACAAGGAACTGAGACGGCAGCACACCAGATGGCACCATGTAACCTCAGGAGAGACCTTGAGCCTGTAGCACTCAGGCTCCTGACCTGCAGATGTGGCGAAAACCTGGGACTTCCAAGTACTTGGGCCATTTTCTGCTGCCTCCAGACACATCAGCAAGGAGCTGGATCAGAAGTGGAGCATTAGGGACTTGAACTTGTGCCCATTTGGGATGCTTGCCAGGCAGGTGGTGGCTTTACCTGCCATGTCACAACATTGGCTCCTGAATTTTTTTTCTGAGTATTAGGTCTCTTTTTTTTTTAAAGATTTATTTATTTATTTGAAAGGCAGAGTTTCAGAGAGGCAGAGGCAGAGAGAGAGAAGTCTTCCAACCACTGTGGTTCAGTCCTCAGATAGCTCCAACAACTGGAGCTGGGTCGATTGGAAGCCAGGAACCAGGAGCTTCCTCTGTGTCTCCCATTCAGGTGCAGGGGCACAAGGACTTGAGCCATCATCTGCATTCCCAGAGAGCTGGATCAGAGTGGAACAGCTGGGACTTGAACCGGTGCCCATAAGGGATGGTGGCACTGCAGGCAGTGGTGCAGGCTGTTGGATTTGTTTTTAAAAGCTTTGTTGCAGGAGGGTTTGTGGCACAGGAGGTCAAATTGCCAGCTTGGATGCCTGTATCCCCCATGAGGGTGCTGGGTTTGGCTGCCAGTATTCTGCTTCCAATCCAGCTTCCCACTGACGTGTCTCTGGGGGGCACAGGCAGTGGCTCGAGCACTTGGGTCCCTGCCACCAATGAGAGCTCCACCTCTCTTTCTGCTTTTCAAGTCAAATGAAAATTGATGAAAAAATTTAAAAAACAGTTTCTTTGTCCACTGAGTAAAGATTGTCCATGGGGTCCTGGTTCCTAGCTGTGGAGATTGTGCCTCCTTAAGGGACACTGTGGTTGGCCCAACTGGGAGGTGCTCCTGGCTTGGGTCAGGTGGTTGCCAGAGATGCTGCCCCTCACCCTGCAGTGCCCAGAGTGCCCCGGAGCAAGAACAATCTGGGTCCAGTGCCTAGGGGAGAGCCCCTAGGTCTGGGGTACAGGAGTGGAACCAGGAGATTAATGAGGAGCTGGAGAGACAGGGTGTGATCTGGACTCTGCCATGAGAGGTGACGTGGCTTTATGTGGATTCCCTGTCCCATGCCTCAATTTCCCTGCTACAAAATGGGCATAGTAGCCCCCTCCTCATTTTTTTCAGGATTGCAGAAGGTGATTCTGTCATATCCTGATACCTGAGTCTCTGCACCTGTACCCTCATAGCTGCTGCGGCCGCCGTTACTGAGTGTCAGTGCATGAGGACAGGGAACTGGGGCGGGATCTCCCTTCCCAGCATCCCTAGAACTTCACCAAGGTCATCTTATCTGGGTCCTTGGTTTTTAGGGCTTAGGATTGCATGAGTTCAGACCTGAGTGTAACCTGAGCTTGTGGGGAATCACAGGGTTAGGACTGGTCCTGTCCATGGTGTGATCACCCTGGACTTTCATCTTTGTTGGTTGGCCCTGCAGGAAGTGAGCAGAGGGGTGGAAAGCCCTTGCTCCCCACCTCCACCTCCTCTGTCCCCCGAGTTCACTGGGCTTGTTCCTGCGGGGAAGCAAATGCCACACTGCGGGGCTGTGTCTGCCTTCTTAGGGAGATACACAGCCTTGTCCTCTCCCACGCAGCAGAAGCACAGAGACTCCTGCTCCGTCAGCTGTGACTCATACTAGTCCGTCTCTGTCCACTGCCCTCGTCCCTTCCTCCTGGCCTCTGACAACTGCCGTTGTGCCCTGAGCCTCCAGGGCATCACCACTTTGCAGATTCCACATGTGAGTGAGGTCATGTGGTGTTTGTCTTTCTGTGCTTGGTTGATTTCACTTAACCCAGTGATTTCCAGATCCTCCCATGGTACCACAAATGACAAGATTTCAACCTTTTTTATAGCTGAGTAGTATTCCTATGTGCACACGTACCCCTTTTTTTCTTTTTCCATCCATGGCGGATGGATGTGTAGGTTGTTTGCATGCCTTAGCTACTGGGAACAGGACTGCAGTAAAATTGGGGGCACAGATCTCTCTTCCACAGACTGACTTCCTTCCCCTTTATTGTACACTGGCAGTAGGGTTGGTGGAGTGGATGGTAGGTCTAGTTTCTGTTTATTGAGCAACTTCCTTACTCTTTACCACATCTACATTCCCACCCACAGAATGCCAAGTGTTCCCTCCCCTCCACACACATCCTCACTAGTTATCGTTCATTCCTTTGGTATCCTATTGTGGTTTTGCTTTGTATCTCTCTGAGATCAGTGATGAGCACTTTTGTCCCGTATTTCACATTATAAGTAGTTCCCTTGAGTGCTGTGGAACAGGAGAATCACTGACATGTCTTACTTTAAGGAATGTCTATTTCCGAGGCCAGCACTGTGGCGCAGCGAGTTGATATCCTGGCCTAAAGTGCTGGCATCCCATGTGGGCGCTGGTTCGAGACCTGGCTTTCCATTTCTGATCCAGCTATATGCTATGGTGTGGGAAAGCTGTAGAGGATGGCCTAGTTCCTTGGGTTCCTGCACCCACGTAGGGGACCCAGAGGAAGCTCCTAGCTCCTGGCTTCGGATCGGCGCAGCCCCGGCTGTCGCTACCAACTGGGGAGTGAACCATCGGATGGGAGTCCTTTCTTTCTCTGCCTCTCCCCTCTCTGTGTAACTCTGATTTGCAAGTAAATATATAGATCTTTTTTTTTTAAAAAAAGAAATGTCTATTTCTAACTGAGACTCTTAAGTCTGACTTATTTGTTGTTTCTTGTTTTTGCTGTTTAGTTGTTTTTATGTTGACTTTACTAACAGCTATGTCAGATGGATGGCTTGTAGACATTGTTTCTTTGCTGTACAAAAGCTGTTTAATTTGGTGAAATCCCATTTGTCTGCTGGTTGGCTTTGTTTCCTATGCTCTTGGGGTCTGATCTAAGAAATCCTTGCCCATGGCACTGTCCGGAAGCAGTTCCCCTGTGTTTTCTTCTAATTGTTTCAAAGGCTCAGATCTTACATTTCAGTTTGTCTTCTGTTTTCTTTACTTTTCACAGATTTATTTATTTATTTTAAAGTCAGAAGTACACAGAGAAGGTTAGGCAGAGAGAAAGTAGTTGTCCATCCACTGGTTCACTCCCCAGATGGCCACAATGGCCATGGCTGTGCTGATCCAAAGCCAAGATCCAGGAGCTTCCTCCAGGTCAGCCACGAGGGTGCAGGAGCCCAAGGACTTGTGCCATCTTTTACTGCTTTCCTGGACCACAGGTGAGAGCTAGATTGGTAGAGGAGCAGCTGGGACTACACCAGCACTCATCCGGGAAGCTGGTATTGCTGACGGAGGCTTTACCCGGTCCCTTCATTTCTTTTTTGAAACCAGTATGAATAACCCACAGCATTGATGAGTATGTTCTGTGCTCATTGGTACCATGTTTTCTTCTAGGTGCATTTCATTTAATAAATTTGTTCTTCCCAACAGTGGTATAGGTTCTGTGTTGCAGTTGAGGCTCCCCAGGCACAAAGCCTAAGCAGTGCAGAGGCCTAGTGTCCCAGAGCAGGATTTGGCCTCTGGGCTGTAAGTCAGGGACTGCCACTGAATCCAGACCTCATGTTAACTGCCCTGGATGGTGAAGATACTGCTCTGTCTCTCCCCTCTGCCAGGCTCTGTGCTGTGAGATCCTCTTCCAGTCTCCAAGAAGACCTTGACCTCAGCATCCTTCTGGCCCTAGGGTGGTCAACTGGCATGATGTCCACACAAGTGAAGGAACAGTTGCTTCTGGATCACTCAGATCACTTTCTGTGGACAGGTTTCTTGACCTACAATTGACAGAACATGATGTATGTCCTCTTGTGTCCATGTCAGTGACTTTAATATATGTATAGGCTGTGTAGCCATCAGCACAGTGTAGCTGTGGAACATTCCCCAAACACTTAAAGAACCTCCTGCCTATTGGCACTCAGTTCTCAGTCCCGCCTCCAGGCCCTTGAGACACATGTCTACTCACTTTCACAAATGTCCCATGCGTGTTGATAGTGTCACGGTGTATGAGGCCTTTGCCTCTCTCTACCTTCCCAGAGCCACATGTCTTCAGGGCTCCCGAGTTGGATAGGGAGTGTCAGAACAGTATGCCCTTCTGTGGGGTGGAGAGTTGTCTATATTGAGGACAGACCATATGTTTATTCGTACATCAGTTGCTGGCCATTTGATGGCTTCTACTTGCTGGTTATTATGAATGATGCAGTTAGGGCATTCTAGACTCGCTTTTGAAAAATAGAATATATGTATGGTTATTCATAATTGACACATATAATTGTACATGTTTATGGGGTACAGTGTGGTATTTCAGTGTAAATATATGGTATATAATGATCTGATCAGGTTAATTAAGATATCCGTCACCTGAAACATACTCATCATTTGTGTTGGGAACATCCAGAATCTCCTCTACTAGCCATTGTGAGGCACATAATTAATTACTTTTCCATTGGTTACCTCACGGTGTGGCAGAACATTTGACATTGCTCTTCACAGTGAACTGTGCTCTGTACCCGTCCACCATCCTCCCTCCACTCCCCCCTCCCCTTTCCAACCTCTGGTAAACTCTGTTCTATTTGCCTACCTCTGTGAGATCAACTTTTTAGGATTTCATACGTAAATGGGAACATGCAGTAGTTTTCCTCCTGCGATTGATTTGTTTAACTAATACAGTGTCCTCCCTGGGGCCGGCACTGTGATGTAGTGGGCTAACCCTCCCCATGTGGTGCTGGCATGCCAAATGGGTGCTGGTTCATGCCCCAGCGGTTGTTCTTCCAATCCAGCTCTCCGCTGCAAAAGCAGTGGAGAATGGCCCAAGTGTTTGGACTCCTGCACCCACCTGGGAGACATGAAAGAGGCATCTGTCTCCTGGCTTTAGATCGGCTCAGCTCTGGCCTTTGTACCCATTTAGGGAGTGAACCAGTGTATGGGAGACCTTTGTCTGTTTCCCTCTGTCTGTAACTCAACTTCTCAAATAAATAAAATCCTTCTCCCTCCGAAAAAAACCATACACAAACAGAAGAACCCACAATACCTTCCAGGCTCATGGATGTTGCTGCAGATGACATGGCTATGTTCTTTTTTATGGCTGAGTATTATTCCATTATGCATATGTAACCAGGTGTTCTTTATCAATTCATCTACCAGTAGAGTGTCTAGGTTGACTCCATACCTTGGCTTTCATGAACAGTGCTGCAGTAAACGTGGCGTGCAACTATGTTGTCCACATTTGGTTTCCTTTCCTTTGGATGTATACGCACAGACAGATTGCTGGATCATATGGCAGTTCTATTTCTGGTGTTTTGGGAAACACCACAGTGTTTGCCACAAGGGCTGCATTGATTGACATTCTTGTCCAGAGTGTGTGAGAATTCCCCTTTCTCCATGTCCTTGAATTTGTTCATTGTGTTTTTTTCTGGTCAGACCTGGGAGAGAGAATCTTTGATTGAGGTTTTGAGTTTCAAGTCCCTGATGATTAATATGATTGAGCATTATTTCATGTAGTTTTTGGCCATTTGTATATCTTCTTCTGACATGTATCTACTCAGATAATTAGCTCATTTTTAATTGCATTTTTGTGGGGGGACTTTTGGGTTGAGTTCCTTAATCTCATCAGGGGAACAACTTGCAAATACTTTCTCTTATTCTTTGAAGAATGTCATTGGTATTGTGAGAGGAATTGCATTGTGTCTATAGTAGTTGGACATTTAAAAGTTCTAGTTCTTCAAATGCATGACCATGGGATGACTTTGCACTTTTTAGTCATCTCTTCAATTTCTGTCAACTCCTTGTTCTACCACTGGGTTGCCCTCTTGATCTCTTTTCATCTGATTTGTTCCTAGGGTATTGAAATGCTATTGGTTTTTGTAAGTTGATCCTGTATCCTACACTTTTATTGAATTCTTTTAACTCTTTGATGAAGTTTTAAATTTTCCTATATATAAGATCATATAGATTGCAAGTAAGGACTATTTGACTTTGTTGTTTCCAAACTGATGCTGTGATTTTTTGCTCTTGCTAAATTGTGCTGGGTAGCACTCCCAGTTGTGTGTTGAGGAGAGTGGTAAAAGGGATCCATTGATTGGACAGGAACATGGTGTTTGATTTCCATGCATTTGGCTGATATCTACAATTCCTCTGGTTGATTACTAATATTTTATTCCATTATGGCCTGTGAAAAGGTGATTTTGATTTTTTAAAATGAGTTGAGGCTTGTTTTGTGGGCGAATGTAGGGTCTCTTCTGGAGAATGTTCCACGTGCTGAGGGGAAGAATGCATATTCTGCAGTGCTCCACAAATGTTAAGTCCATTTGGTGTGTAGTGCTTCTTAAGTCTAGTGCTTCTTTGCTGGTTGTCTGTCTAGATGATCTGTCCATTGACAGGTGGGATGTGGAAGTCCCCAGCTCCTATTGTTGTGGGGTCTCTACCTCCCTTTAGAACCAATATTGTTTGTATTCCATGCTTAGGTGGTGTTGTTTTCAGGTGCATGTATGTATTTCCAGTTGTTAGATGCTCTTTCTGACAGATTCTTTTATCCTGATGTAATGTGTGTCTGAAATGGGTTTCTTCCAGGCAGTATCTTGAGTGTTGGTCTTTATCCACTCAGCCAGTCTTTATCCTTTAAGTGGGGAATTTAACCAATTTACATTCAAAGTTGTTATTAACAGATAACAACCTATGTCTACCTTGACACTTTTTTTAGGGACAAGTATTTTCATTTATCTTGAGTATGAGCTAGGTGCTGAGTCCGACAGTAACTCTTCATATCTCCATTTGGACAACTGCTTGATCTTTACAGTGGCTGCACCATTTCACATTCTCAGCATCAATGGGTGAGGTCTGTTTGTCCATATCCTTTACAACTCTGGTTCCTCCCCATTGTTTAAACTCCTGCCACTCAAGTGGGGGAGAGTTGGTGTCACATTGTGGCTTCCATTTGCTTTTCTCTGGGGCCTGAAGATGTTGGGCAACTTTTACTGCGCTCATCTTAGAAGAAATGCATATTCAAATATTTGACGCATGGTGGTTTGGGTTGTTCATTTTCATATTGTTCAATTGTAAGTGTTCCTTATATTTGTGGACAGAGGATCTTATCGTATACATGCTTTTAAAATATTTTGTCTGAATCTGTGTGATCTTTTTTTCACTTTGATAATGTGTTTCTTGAATCAGAAGTGTTTGCGATTTGGAGAAATTAGTGTTTATCTTTTTATTATGTATCATAGTTGTGATAATGTATCAAAAATCTGCGGGTCACTCAAAATTGTCAAGATTTTGTAAGTTTTCTTCTAAGTGATTTATATTTTTGACTTTTAACATTTATGCTTAGATGCTTTATTTTGAGTTATGTTTTGGAGTGGATGAGGTGAACATGTAAATGAGAGGCCTGGAAGCTCATTTTCTGCTGGGCCATTAGGTATTTAGAGCATCATTTGCTGTGTTTGTAAGTCTGCCCAGGATGCTCCCTTCTCTGGGCCTTCTCATGTCTCCTGCGCAGATGCGCAAGTCTTCACGCCTGATCAGGGGTGAGTAGACAGAAAGGACCTTCTCTTTGTTTACTGATGTAGCCCAGGCCCCCATGTGCACAACAACCTCTACTTCACCACGGAAATACAGAAGACCTTCCAGGTCCAGATGTCGGTCTTCCTGGTTCTGCTCTGTGAACTTGAGTCTGGCGCACTGGGGAGAGGGAAATCCTGGGTGACAGAGCTCTTGCTGGTGCACACATGTCTGTTGGACCCATTTCAGTCCACCTGTAGGCAGGGCAGCTGGTCCCCAGAGGTCAACAGTGTCCCTCAGTTCATCGGTATCACTGTGTTCTACCTGTGGGCTCTCAGGGACTGCGAGGTTCTTCATCTGTAAGCCAGAACCACACGGCAGTGGAAGATTATGAAAGCCTGGGGTGCACTTCCCTATGGAAACACAGCCTGTTCCAGAGGAACATGGTCACTATCCTTGGGACATCCTCTGTGTCTCCATCTTCTCAGCCAAGACCACCCATGTCTCCTGCACACCAGGCAGTCTGGGTTACATGGGGTCCTGGACAAGGCCCCTCAGTCTCCTGTGCAGTAGGCAAATCCTTCCTCTACTTTAGGTACCAGTGACCCATTTTTGAGCACAGGGCCAGAGCCTGTGACTGCTTCTGTGTGTGTATGATGCTGGACCTGATCGTGTGCCCTCAGTTAAGAATCACCCAATGCCTGTGCACACTTCATACTGGAGCTGTGAGCTCCCAGTGTGTGCAGGGAGGTGCACAACATCGCATTACATGACGCGGTGATGGCTGTGGCAGAGCTGCCTTCCCATTCCACAGATGAGGACACTGAGGCTGTGGGGACAGCACCCCCGGCAGGTCCGTTCTGTGACCTCTGAGTCTGCGTCCCTGAGCATGAGGAAGCGCTGCCCCAGTCATGCCAGCGTCTCCCTGTTCCTTGCTTCCCTTGGCCTTCCCAGCATGTGGTGCTCTTTGTCCAAACGGGGAATGTTGGCTCTGCCCCTGGGGAGGTGCCCGTGTCCTCTGCAGAGGATGCAGGTCCCGGGCATTGGAGCCATGGTGCAGGGAGAGTGGGGTGGGGAGGGCACGGCCTGGGGAGCTGGCACGGTGCAAATTGTACATTCCACAGTGGGTAACAACTTACATTTTATTGAGGTTCAGGGACAATAAGGTGGAGAAAAGGAAGAGAGTGGGGAGGAGTAAAGAGAAATACAGGACGACGGGGGCGGGGAAGGCCAGGTGTGGCACTGGGGCTGCAGCAGAAGGGACTTGCGGAGCTGGGGCTGAGGCCGGGGCCAGTGCTGCGTCTGGTGCCCCTGCAGCGTCCTCGGCTTCAGCTGCTGCGTACAGTCCTGGCTCCAGGCCCTCCATCCCCAGAGCCTCTTCTCTCAGGGCCTCCCCTGAGCCCTGCTCAGCCCCCGGGGACACAGCTGTCCCCCGCGCATCCTTGTGGTGGCGCTGATCGATGGAGGACCAGCACTGCTCCAGCGGGGGTGTTGTTGGGAGATCAGGGCTCTGTGCCGCCCCAGCCGTGAGGTCAGGTGCCAGGCCCGGCCCTGACCCTGGGTCACGACTGACACAGGCGAAGTCAACGGGCCCTACTTCCTCCGCTGTGAGATGGGCATTTGCGGAGCCCCTGGGCTCTATCTGGGCTCTGACCAACAGTGTGTGACTGAGGGGGACGTCCAGTGGTTTCTGTGTGCCGGGGAACGCCCGGTACGGGGGCTTCGGAGCTGTGGGCTCGTTTGACCACTCCCCCACCACACACAGGTCATCAGTGAAAGGGGCCTGACACACGTCCTGCCTGCTGGCGATCCGCAGCCTTCTGTGCATTGCCAGGCGCGAGGCTGACCTGTCCTGGCCCTGGGAGACAAGAGCAGAGAATGGCAGGTAAGAGGCAGTCCCTGGATCCCTCCGCGGCCAGGAGCTCTGGGCCTCAGGCTGCCTCCACCTAGGACTTCCAGCCTCCCTCCTCTGAGAGGGAAGTGGCCCCTTGCCCCCCACACCCACACCCACCCCCAGGGGCCTATGGGCTTCGGGTGGGTTCCCAGTGGTGTCCTGGCCCGCAGAGACCTGTCCTGCTTCCAGACTCACCATGGCCGTTTTCTGTTGGAAGCACCAGGAGCGTCGGGGGTGAGGGCTGGCCCAGCGTCCCCACCACTGGGCGAGGCACCCACCGCAGGGTTTCTTGGGGGCTGGGCTTGGGCATCGCGGGATACAACTCAGGAACATCTTCCTGCGAGACTCTATCCAGGTGAGCTGGTTCAGACTCAACTCTGGAATGTTGGGGTTGTTGCCGGGCCCCCCAGGTCTCCAGGTGAGGTCACTTCCTGTGGCTCCTCAACTGAGCCCCCTCCTCTCACACAAGATGGCTGCCGAGTCCCAGCGGGCGCTGCCTGCTGCACTTCTAAGCCATGCCCTGTGCACACTGTCCCCCGTCGCACCAACAGGGGGAAGCCTCCGCCTGCCACAGCAGATGTGGGTCCAGCCTTTGTCACAGCTGGGCTAGACCTGTTCCCCCCTGCTTGAGGGCTTCTCACCCTGCATGGTCATTGTCCCTGTCAAGACGCCCCAGCCTCCCGTGTGGTCCCTGGGGATCGTGTCCCAGTGAAGCTGGCGCCCTCAGCTGCCCAGCTGTGGACCCTGAGGAGCAAGAGCTCCCATCACACCCTGAGACCGACCGGGAGCCGCTCCCTGTGCATTGGGAGCCCTGTCCCAGCCCCTGAAGTGTGGCTCCTCCCAGCCACAGGCACCTGGAGGGTGGTTCTTCTCTCTCAAAGCCCAAAACGAGGCTGCGACCACCCAGACTCAGTTGCCCCGTGTGCACCTGGGGCTGTCTGCTCTAGGGAGCTGATGGTCAGTGGAGAACTGAGTGCTCCTAGCTCTGGCCTGCACCCCGGAGGAGTCGTGGGGTGGTCCTTTGGGTCCTGCAGGATCTGGGGCTTTAGCAGTGCACAGTGGTTCTTGAAGCTCATTCAGACTCCCAGGGGAGTTGGTTGGGCTCAGGGCCGGCTCTCTGAGGACCAGGGTGATGACTGCCGTGGCCCTGCACTTGCTGATTGTTCCCCAGGACTGGTAGGGATCGTGCCAGGCATCTCTGGGGTCTGGGCCTGCCATGAGCCTGAGGGAGGTCAGTGTGAGGAGCCAGACGGGATAGGTGGCATGTGTGAGAGAGTGTTTCCATCCAGCGTCCTGAGGAGACCCTAGACACCGGGGCTGTTCCGTGTTGGGTTTGGACAGGGGCGTGGGGAGAGATCAGGAGTGGTGTTGGGCGTGGTTCAGTGAGGAATGTCTGGGGAGTAGATGGCCGTGGTGGGGACACATAGTGTGCGTGTCCTTCCTGTTAGCTAATGGCTAGTTCCCTGTTGTGGGAATGTCCTTCCCTGAAAGATGAGGGACAGGCTCATGTGCCGGGGTTGGTGCTGACGGTGGCAGCACTGGCGATGTCGAGTGGTTTAGATGGCAGTGGCCCGTGGCCCTTCCCTGTGGGGAGCTCTCCTGTCCCCCAACCAGAGCCTGAAAAGATGCTATTTGGGTGTACTCTCGATAGTAAAGACCTCCTGTGAAAAGTTTCTGGGAGGAGTTAAGCTGCTGCTGTGCTTTGAATACTCTTTTCCTTCTTTCTCTGAGAAGTAGAGTGAGACACAGAGAGGGAGAGACAGAGAGGTCTTCCATGTGCTGGTTCAATCCGCTACTGGCCACAGTGTCCTCAAATGGGCTAATCGGAGGCCAGGAGCTGAGAGCGTCTACAGGTCTCCGGCGGCATGGGTGCAGGGGTCCAAGGACTTGGGCCATCTTCATTGCTTTCGCCGGCCATCACCAGGGAGCTGGATGGAAGTGGAGCAGCCAGCACACAAGCCAGTGCCCATATGGGATGCTGGCGCCGCAGGTGGAGGCTTAACCTACTGCTCTACACTGCTGACCCAGGAGTGCAGCCACTTTCATCTAAGTTTGGGCTCAGGGTTTTTTGTTGTTGTTGTTAAGATTGATTTATTTACTTCACTGGCAGAGTGACAGGAGAGAAAGAGGCAAGAGAGACAGAGAGAGAGAGGGAGAGAGAGAGGGAGAAAGAGAGACAGAGAGGTCTTTGATCCAATGGGTCACTCCCCAAAGGGCCACAACAGCCGGTGCTGAGCTGATCCAAAGCCAGGAGCCAGGAGCTTCTTCTGGGTCTACCACGTGGATAAGGGGGCCAAGTACATGGCCCATGTTCCACTGCCTTCTCGTGTCTTAGCAGAGAGCTGCATTGGAAGTGGAGCAGCTGGGACTCCAACCGGTGCCCATATGGTATCTCGATGTCATAGGCAGATGTTCAACCTACTATGCCACAGCGCCGCCCCAGGATGTCGTCTTGTCCCTTCCCTTCCCTTCCCTTCCCTTCCCTTCCCTTCCCTTCCCTTCCCTTCCCTTCCCTTCCCTTCCCTTCCCTTCCCTTCCCTCCCTCCCCTCCCCTCTCTTTTCTCTTCTCTTCTCTTCTCTTCTCTTCTCTTCTCTTCTCTTCTCTTCTCTTCTCTTCTCTTCTCTTCTCTTCTCTTCTCTTCTCTTCTCTTCTCTTCTCTTCTCTTCTTTTATCTTCTTCTTTTCAGTTGTTGACTTGAAAGGCAGAGTTGGAGGAAGGGACAGGGAGAGAGATCCAGAAGGATGACTCTGAATTGCTGATTTAATCTCCCAGAAGCCCATGCTGGCTGAGGCTGAGTCAGGCTGAAGCCAGGAGCCTGGAACACCTTCTGGGCCTGGCACACAGGTGGCAGGGCCGGGGGCACTTGGGTCAACTTGTGCTGCTCTGCCAGGTGTGTGAGCAGGGAGCTGGAATGAAAGCAGGGCTCCAGGAGCAGAACCGGGGTTCTGATGTGGGATGCCAGCCCTGCAGGTGGGGCTATAACCTGTGGGCCACAGCACCAGCCCCATGGGCCTAGGTGGCGGAAAACCTTCCAGGGGTTCCTGTGAAAGGATGTTCTGCCTCTCAGGACCCCTGAATCAGAGAAGGGGAAATCCACGTTGTAACAGGTGCCAGAGTCTACCTTCCCGACCTCCATCAGAGCTCAGGATCCCTGTTGGAGGTGGCTTTTTCATGCTGTAGGTGGAATTGAGCTGTCCTGAGGGCACGTGCAGGTAGGGAGGTGACACTCAGAAGGAGAGGATGTGCAGGACTCGGGCAATGGGGAAAAGCAGGCAGAAACAAGGAATGATGGGAACGAGCCAGGCTGGTACTGGAGAAGCCTGTCCTGTGTCATGGTTGGCATGTGACACTGGGAAGGTCTTGCGGGCATTTAGAAGTGCGGGGCGGGTGAATACAGCAGAACATGAAGCCTGAGAGTGCAGATGACCCGGAGGGGAGGGGCCTGAGCGGGTCTCCTAGTCAGCATGTGGGGCAGTAGCTGGGCACAGGGCAAGAATGCTCAGGATGAGAGATGACTCTGAACTTTCGGAAAGCACTTTTGCGTGCTGACCCAGGAGCACATGAATGTACCTGGGAAAAGCGACGCTGTCAACCTAGGCTTAGCACACCCAGGACGTACAGAGTGGGACGGGAAGCTAGCCGTGTGCTGTCACGTCCTGTGTGGCAGGTCGTTGGCAGGAAGAGCCTCCTGCATTCCCGAAAGCCCCAAGGGTGGTCGTGATCTGGCCTTGGGCTGTGGGCCTGCAAGGAGCCTGACCTCATGTCCTCTGCTGGTTCTGAATGTTGATGTCTCAGCTCAGCGCCCTGCCATGGGCCCCCTCCCTGCGGCAGGCCAGTGTGGGGAGCACAGATCTCTGGTCTTCTCCATGCCAGAGCTGTGCAATGGAACGCCCAGGGACGCTGCTGTCATGTGCACCTAAGACCATCACTAACTGCAGGTGGACTGCGCCTGGGTTGCACTGGACAGGTGTGCAGGGCGGAGCATGGTGGTGATCCTTGACATGTTGCAGAAGGACTGTGGGGGGACAGTGATGTCACTGGGTGTGATGCAGGCCATTCCCAGGAACACACACAGGTCAGCCCCCCAGGGCCCCGGCTTCCTCTTCCACAGGCACCCCTCAGCCCTAGTAGAACATCTGAGGCATTCGATCAGAAAATCTTCAGGGTGTGATCTGTTGGAGAAAGTCATAGCGTTCCTGACCCCTGTGCTCCCTGCTGTGCTGCCCTCTTGCTGGCCCACAGGCCCATAGGGTCCCAGAGTCCGGGCTCACGTGGGGAGGGGAGTCCTCTTCTGGGATCGGCACAGCCCTGACCTGGGCGGGGCCTCCCTCTCAGGGGGTTCCTCATCTGCCAATGGGAGTGAAGCCAGTGTCACCCCATGGCTGAGACAAGGTGCCTGGTGGACGTGGCCAGGGACCCGGAAATCCCAGGAGCTCGGGGAAGGAGCAGCCCCCGTCCTTGGGGACATCCTCTGTGTCTCCATCTTCCCAGCCGAGACCCACCCATGTGGCCTGCACAGCGGGCAGTCTGGGTCACGTGGGGTCCTGGACAAGGCCCCCCTGTCTCCTGTGCAGTGAGCACATCCCTGCTGTGATCCGTCTGTCAGTGACCCGTTGTTGAGCACAGGGCCAGAGCCTGTGACAGGTGTTGTTTGTGTGTGTCCCTGGACGGATTGTGTTCCCTCCGTGGAAGCCCCCAACCCACTCCCTGTGCACCCCTCATCCTGGAAGCTGGGGGCTCCCATTGTGTGCAGGGAGGTGCAGAGCATCGCATTCCCTGATGCGGTGATGGCTGTGGCAGGGCTGCCTTCCCATTGCACAGATGAGGACACTGAGGCTGCGGGGACAGCACCCCCGGCAGGTCCGTTCTGTGACCTCAGAGTCTGCGTCCCTGAGCATGAGGAGGCGCTGCCCCAGCCATGCCAGCGTCTCCCTGTTCCTTGCTTCCCTTGGCCTTCCCAGCGTGTGGTGCTCTTTGTCCAAACGGGGAACGTTGGCTCTGCCCCTGGGGAGGTGCCCGTGTCCTCTGCAGAGGATGCAGGTCCCGGGCATTGGAGCCATGGTGCAGGGAGAGTGGGGTGGGGAGGGCACGGCCTGGGGAGCTGGCACGGTGCAAATTGTACATTCCACAGTGGGTAACAACTTACATTTTATTGAGGTTCAGGGACAATAAGGTGGAGAAAAGGAAGAGAGTGGGGAGGAGTAAAGAGAAATACAGGACGACGGGGGCGGGGAAGGCCAGGTGTGGCACTGGGGCTGCAGCAGAAGGGACTTGCGGAGCTGGGGCTGAGGCCGGGGCCAGTGCTGCGTCTGGTGCCCCTGCAGCGTCCTCGGCTTCAGCTGCTGCGTACAGTCCTGGCTCCAGGCCCTCCATCCCCAGAGCCTCTTCTCTCAGGGCCTCCCCTGAGCCCTGCTCGGCCCCCGGGGACACAGCTGTCCCCCGCGCATCCTTGTGGTGGCGCTGATCGATGGAGGACCAGCACTGCTCCAGCGGGGGTGTTGTTGGGAGATCAGGGCTCTGTGCCGCCCCAGCCGTGAGGTCAGGTGCCAGGCCCGGCCCTGACCCTGGGTCACGACTGACACAGGCGAAGTCAACGGGCCCTACTTCCTCCGCTGTGAGATGGGCATTTGCGGAGCCCCTGGGCTCTATCTGGGCTCTGACCAACAGTGTGTGACTGAGGGGGACGTCCAGTGGTTTCTGTGTGCCGGGGAACGCCCGGTACGGGGGCTTCGGAGCTGTGGGCTCGTTTGACCACTCCCCCACCACACACAGGTCATCAGTGAAAGGGGCCTGACACACGTCCTGCCTGCTGGCGATCCGCAGCCTTCTGTGCATTGCCAGGCGCGAGGCTGACCTGTCCTGGCCCTGGGAGACAAGAGCAGAGAATGGCAGGTAAGAGGCAGTCCCTGGATCCCTCCGCAGGCCAGGAGCTCTGGGCCTCAGGCTGCCTCCACCTAGGACTTCCAGCCTCCCTCCTCTGAGAGGGAAGTGGCCCCTTGCCCCCCACACCCACACCCACACCCACCCCCAGGGGCCTATGGGCTTCGGGTGGGTTCCCAGTGGTGTCCTGGCCCGCAGAGACCTGTCCTGCTTCCAGACTCACCATGGCCGTTTTCTGTTGGAAGCACCAGGAGCGTCGGGGGTGAGGGCTGGCCCAGCGTCCCCACCACTGGGCGAGGCACCCACCGCAGGGTTTCTTGGGGGCTGGGCTTGGGCATCGCGGGATACAACTCAGGAACATCTTCCTGCGAGACTCTATCCAGGTGAGCTGGTTCAGACTCAACTCTGGAATGTTGGGGTTGTTGCCGGGCCCCCCAGGTCTCCAGGTGAGGTCACTTCCTGTGGCTCCTCAACTGAGCCCCCTCCTCTCACACAAGATGGCTGCCGAGTCCCAGCGGGCGCTGCCTGCTGCACTTCTAAGCCATGCCCTGTGCACACTGTCCCCCGTCGCACCAACAGGGGGAAGCCTCCGCCTGCCACAGCAGGTGTGGGTCCAGCCTTTGTCACAGCTGGGCTAGACCTGTTCCCCCCTGCTTGAGGGCTTCTCACCCTGCATGGTCATTGTCCCTGTCAAGACGCCCCAGCCTCCCGTGTGGTCCCTGGGGATCGTGTCCCAGTGAAGCTGGCGCCCTCAGCTGCCCAGCTGTGGACCCTGAGGAGCAAGAGCTCCCATCACACCCTGAGACCGACCGGGAGCCGCTCCCTGTGCATTGGGAGCCCTGTCCCAGCCCCTGAAGTGTGGCTCCTCCCAGCCACAGGCACCTGGAGGGTGGTTCTTCTCTCTCAAAGCCCAAAACGAGGCTGCGACCACCCAGACTCAGTTGCCCCGTGTGCACCTGGGGCTGTCTGCTCTAGGGAGCTGATGGTCAGTGGAGAACTGAGTGCTCCTAGCTCTGGCCTGCACCCCGGAGGAGTCGTGGGGTGGTCCTTTGGGTCCTGCAGGATCTGGGGCTTTAGCAGTGCACAGTGGTTCTTGAAGCTCATTCAGACTCCCAGGGGCGTTGGTTGGGCTCAGGGCCGGCTCTCTGAGGACCAGGGTGATGACTACCGTGGCCCTGCACTTGCTGATTGTTCCCCAGGGCTGGTAGGGATCGTGCCAGCCATCTCTGGGGTCTGGGCCTGCCATGAGCCTGAGGGAGGTCAGTGTGAGGAGCCAGACGGGATAGGTGGCATGTGTGAGAGAGTGTTTCCATCCAGCGTCCTGAGGAGACCCTAGACACCGGGGCTGTTCCGTGTTGGGTTTGGACAGGGGCGTGGGGAGAGATCAGGAGTGGTGTTGGGCGTGGTTCAGTGAGGAATGTCTGGGGAGTAGATGGCCGTGGTGGGGACACATAGTGTGCGTGTCCTTCCTGTTAGCTAATGGCTAGTTCCCTGTTGTGGGAATGTCCTTCCCTGAAAGATGAGGGACAGGCTCATGTGCCGGGGTTGGTGCTGACGGTGGCAGCACTGGCGATGTCGAGTGGTTTAGATGGCAGTGGCCCGTGGCCCTTCCCTGTGGGGAGCTCTCCTGTCCCCCAACCAGAGCCTGAAAAGATGCTATTTGGGTGTACTCTCGATAGTAAAGACCTCCTGTGAAAAGTTTCTGGGAGGAGTTAAGCTGCTGCTGTGCTTTGAATACTCTTTTCCTTCTTTCTCTGAGAAGTAGAGTGAGACACAGAGAGGGAGAGACAGAGAGGTCTTCCATGTGCTGGTTCAATCCGCTACTGGCCACAGTGTCCTCAAATGGGCTAATCGGAGGCCAGGAGCTGAGAGCGTCTACAGGTCTCCGGCGGCATGGGTGCAGGGGTCCAAGGACTTGGGCCATCTTCATTGCTTTCGCAGGCCATCACCAGGGAGCTGGGTGGAAGTGGAGCAGCCAGCACACAAGCCAGTGCCCATATGGGATGCTGGCGCCGCAGGTGGAGGCTTAACCTACTGCTCTACACTGCCGACCCAGGAGTGCAGCCACTTTCATCTAAGTTTGGGCTCAGGGTTTTTTGTTGTTGTTGTTAAGATTGATTTATTTACTTCACTGGCAGAGTGACAGGAGAGAAAGAGGCAAGAGAGACAGAGAGAGAGAGGGAGAGAGAGAGGGAGAAAGAGAGACAGAGAGGTCTTTGATCCAATGGGTCACTCCCCAAAGGGCCACAACAGCCGGTGCTGAGCTGATCCAAAGCCAGGAGCCAGGAGCTTCTTCTGGGTCTACCACGTGGATAAGGGGGCCAAGTCCATGGCCCATGTTCCACTGCCTTCTCGTGTCTTAGCAGAGAGCTGCATTGGAAGTGGAGCAGCTGGGACTCCAACCGGTGCCCATATGGTATCTCGATGTCATAGGCAGATGTTCAACCTACTATGCCACAGCGCCGCCCCAGGATGTCGTCTTGTCCCTTCCCTTCCCTTCCCTTCCCTTCCCTTCCCTTCCCTTCCCTTCCCTTCCCTTCCCTTCCCTTCCCTTCCCTTCCCTTCCCTTCCCTTCCCTCCCCTCCCTCCCTCCCTCCCTCTCTTCTCTTCTCTTCTCTTCTCTTCTCTTCTCTTCTCTTCTCTTCTCTTCTCTTCTCTTCTCTTCTCTTCTCTTCTCTTCTCTTCTCTTCTCTTCTTCTTCTTCTTTTCAGTTGTTGACTTGAAAGGCAGAGTTGGAGGAAGGGACAGGGAGAGAGATCCAGAAGGATGACTCTGAATTGCTGATTTAATCTCCCAGAAGCCCATGCTGGCTGAGGCTGAGTCAGGCTGAAGCCAGGAGCCTGGAACACCTTCTGGGCCTGGCACACAGGTGGCAGGGCCGGGGGCACTTGGGTCAACTTGTGCTGCTCTGCCAGGTGTGTGAGCAGGGAGCTGGAATGAAAGCAGGGCTCCAGGAGCAGAACCGGGGTTCTGATGTGGGATGCCAGCCCTGCAGGTGGGGCTTTAGCCTGTGGGCCACAGCGCCAGCCCCATGGGCCTAGGTGGCGGAAAACCTTCCAGGGGTTCCTGTGAAAGGATGTTCTGCCTCTCAGGACCCCTGAATCAGAGAAGGGGGAATCCACGTTGTAACAGGTGCCCGAGTCTACCTTCCCGACCTCCATCAGAGCTCAGGATCCCTGTTGGAGGTGGCTTTTTCATGCTGTAGGTGGAATTGAGCTGTCCTGAGGGCACGTGCAGGTAGGGAGGTGACACTCAGAAGGAGAGGATGTGCAGGACTCGGGCGATGGGGAAAAGCAGGCAGAAACAAGGAATGATGGGAACGAGCCAGGCTGGTACTGGAGAAGCCTGTCCTGTGTCATGGTTGGCATGTGACACTGGGAAGGTCTTGCGGGCATTTAGAAGTGCGGGGCGGGTGAATACAGCAGAACATGAAGCCTGAGAGTGCAGATGACCCGGAGGGGAGGGGCCTGAGCGGGTCTCCTAGTCAGCATGTGGGGCAGTAGGTGGGCACAGGGCAAGAATGCTCAGGATGAGAGATGACTCTGAACTTTCGGAAAGCACTTTTGCATGCTGACCCAGGAGCACATGAATGTACCTGGGAAAAGCGACGCTGTCAACCTAGGCTTAGCACACCCAGGACGTACAGAGTGGGACGGGAAGCTAGCCGTGTGCTGTCACGTCCTGTGTGGCAGGTCGTTGGCAGGAAGAGCCTCCTGCATTCCCGAAAGCCCCAAGGGTGGTCGTGATCTGGCCTTGGGCTGTGGGCCTGCAAGGAGCCTGACCTCATGTCCTCTGCTGGTTCTGAATGTTGATGTCTCAGCTCAGCGCCCTGCCATGGGCCCCCTCCCTGCGGCAGGCCAGTGTGGGGAGCACAGATCTCTGGTCTTCTCCATGCCAGAGCTGTGCAATGGAACGCCCAGGGACGCTGCTGTCACGTGCACCTAAGACCATCACTAACTGCAGGTGGACTGCGCCTGGGTTCCACTGGACAGGTGTGCAGGGCGGAGCATGGTGGTGATCCTTGACATGTTGCAGAAGGACTGTGGGGGGACAGTGATGTCACTGGGTGTGATGCAGGCCATTCCCAGGAACACACACAGGTCAGCCCCCCAGGGCCCCGGCTTCCTCCTCCACAGGCACCCCTCAGCCCTAGTAGAACATCTGAGGCATTCGATCAGAAAATCTTCAGGGTGTGATCTGTTGGAGAAAGTCATAGCGTTCCTGACCCCTGTGCTCCCTGCTGTGCTGCCCTCTTGCTGGCCCACAGGCCCATAGGGTCCCAGAGTCCGGGCTCCCGTGGGGAGGGGAGTCCTCTTCTGGGATCGGCACAGCCCTGACCTGGGCGGGGCCTCCCTCTCAGGGGGTTCCTCATCTGCCAATGGGAGTGAAGCCAGTGTCACCCCATGGCTGAGACAAGGTGCCTGGTGGACGTGGCCAGGGACCCGGAAATCCCAGGAGCTCGGGGAAGGAGCAGCCCCCGTCCTTGGGGACATGCTCTGTGTCTCCATCTTCCCAGCCGAGACCCACCCATGTGGCCTGCACAGCGGGCAGTCTGGGTCACGTGGGGTCCTGGACAAGGCCCCCCTGTCTCCTGTGCAGTGAGCACATCCCTGCTGTGATCCGTCTGTCAGTGACCCGTTGTTGAGCACAGGGCCAGAGCCTGTGACAGGTGTTGTTTGTGTGTGTCCCTGGACGGATTGTGTTCCCTCCGTGGAAGCCCCCAACCCACTCCCTGTGCACCCCTCATCCTGGAAGCTGGGGGCTCCCATTGTGTGCAGGGAGGTGCAGAGCATCGCATTCCCTGATGCGGTGATGGCTGTGGCAGGGCTGCCTTCCCATTGCACAGATGAGGACACTGAGGCTGCGGGGACAGCACCCCCGGCAGGTGCGTTCTGTGACCTCAGAGTCTGCGTCCCTGAGCATGAGGAGGCGCTGCCCCAGCCATGCCAGCGTCTCCCTGTTCCTTGCTTCCCTTGGCCTTCCCAGCATGTGGTGCTCTTTGTCCAAACGGGGAACGTTGGCTCTGCCCCTGGGGAGGTGCCCGTGTCCTCTGCAGAGGATGCAGGTCCCGGGCATTGGAGCCATGGTGCAGGGAGAGTGGGGTGGGGAGGGCACGGCCTGGGGAGCTGGCACGGTGCAAATTGTACATTCCACAGTGGGTAACAACTTACATTTTATTGAGGTTCAGGGACAATAAGGTGGAGAAAAGGAAGAGAGTGGGGAGGAGTAAAGAGAAATACAGGACGACGGGGGCGGGGAAGGCCAGGTGTGGCACTGGGGCTGCAGCAGAAGGGACTTGCGGAGCTGGGGCTGAGGCCGGGGCCAGTGCTGCGTCTGGTGCCCCTGCAGCGTCCTCGGCTTCAGCTGCTGCGTACAGTCCTGGCTCCAGGACCCTCCATCCCCAGAGCCTCTTCTCTCAGGGCCTCCCCTGAGCCCTGCTCGGCCCCCGGGGACACAGCTGTCCCCCGCGCATCCTTGTGGTGGCGCTGATCGATGGAGGACCAGCACTGCTCCAGCGGGGGTGTTGTTGGGAGATCAGGGCTCTGTGCCGCCCCAGCCGTGAGGTCAGGTGCCAGGCCCGGCCCTGACCCTGGGTCACGACTGACACAGGCGAAGTCAACGGGCCCTACTTCCTCCGCTGTGAGATGGGCATTTGCGGAGCCCCTGGGCTCTATCTGGGCTCTGACCAACAGTGTGTGACTGAGGGGGACGTCCAGTGGTTTCTGTGTGCCGGGGAACGCCCGGTACGGGGGCTTCGGAGCTGTGGGCTCGTTTGACCACTCCCCCACCACACACAGGTCATCAGTGAAAGGGGCCTGACACACGTCCTGCCTGCTGGCGATCCGCAGCCTTCTGTGCATTGCCAGGCGCGAGGCTGACCTGTCCTGGCCCTGGGAGACAAGAGCAGAGAATGGCAGGTAAGAGGCAGTCCCTGGATCCCTCCGCGGCCAGGAGCTCTGGGCCTCAGGCTGCCTCCACCTAGGACTTCCAGCCTCCCTCCTCTGAGAGGGAAGTGGCCCCTTGCCCCCCACACCCACACCCACACCCACCCCAGGGGCCTATGGGCTTCGGGTGGGTTCCCAGTGGTGTCCTGGCCCGCAGAGACCTGTCCTGCTTCCAGACTCACCATGGCCGTTTTCTGTTGGAAGCACCAGGAGCGTCGGGGGTGAGGGCTGGCCCAGCGTCCCCACCACTGGGCGAGGCACCCACCGCAGGGTTTCTTGGGGGCTGGGCTTGGGCATCGCGGGATACAACTCAGGAACATCTTCCTGCGAGACTCTATCCAGGTGAGCTGGTTCAGACTCAACTCTGGAATGTTGGGGTTGTTGCCGGGCCCCCCAGGTCTCCAGGTGAGGTCACTTCCTGTGGCTCCTCAACTGAGCCCCCTCCTCTCACACAAGATGGCTGCCGAGTCCCAGCGGGCGCTGCCTGCTGCACTTCTAAGCCATGCCCTGTGCACACTGTCCCCCGTCGCACCAACAGGGGGAAGCCTCCGCCTGCCACAGCAGGTGTGGGTCCAGCCTTTGTCACAGCTGGGCTAGACCTGTTCCCCCCTGCTTGAGGGCTTCTCACCCTGCATGGTCATTGTCCCTGTCAAGACGCCCCAGCCTCCCGTGTGGTCCCTGGGGATCGTGTCCCAGTGAAGCTGGCGCCCTCAGCTGCCCAGCTGTGGACCCTGAGGAGCAAGAGCTCCCATCACACCCTGAGACCGACCGGGAGCCGCTCCCTGTGCATTGGGAGCCCTGTCCCAGCCCCTGAAGTGTGGCTCCTCCCAGCCACAGGCACCTGGAGGGTGGTTCTTCTCTCTCAAAGCCCAAAACGAGGCTGCGACCACCCAGACTCAGTTGCCCCGTGTGCACCTGGGGCTGTCTGCTCTAGGGAGCTGATGGTCAGTGGAGAACTGAGTGCTCCTAGCTCTGGCCTGCACCCCGGAGGAGTCGTGGGGTGGTCCTTTGGGTCCTGCAGGATCTGGGGCTTTAGCAGTGCACAGTGGTTCTTGAAGCTCATTCAGACTCCCAGGGGAGTTGGTTGGGCTCAGGGCCGGCTCTCTGAGGACCAGGGTGATGACTACCGTGGCCCTGCACTTGCTGATTGTTCCCCAGGGCTGGTAGGGATCGTGCCAGGCATCTCTGGGGTCTGGGCCTGCCATGAGCCTGAGGGAGGTCAGTGTGAGGAGCCAGACGGGATAGGTGGCATGTGTGAGAGAGTGTTTCCATCCAGCGTCCTGAGGAGACCCTAGACACCGGGGCTGTTCCGTGTTGGGTTTGGACAGGGGCGTGGGGAGAGATCAGGAGTGGTGTTGGGCGTGGTTCAGTGAGGAATGTCTGGGGAGTAGATGGCCGTGGTGGGGACACATAGTGTGCGTGTCCTTCCTGTTAGCTAATGGCTAGTTCCCTGTTGTGGGAATGTCCTTCCCTGAAAGATGAGGGACAGGCTCATGTGCCGGGGTTGGTGCTGACGGTGGCAGCACTGGCGATGTCGAGTGGTTTAGATGGCAGTGGCCCGTGGCCCTTCCCTGTGGGGAGCTCTCCTGTCCCCCAACCAGAGCCTGAAAAGATGCTATTTGGGTGTACTCTCGATAGTAAAGACCTCCTGTGAAAAGTTTCTGGGAGGAGTTAAGCTGCTGCTGTGCTTTGAATACTCTTTTCCTTCTTTCTCTGAGAAGTAGAGTGAGACACAGAGAGGGAGAGACAGAGAGGTCTTCCATGTGCTGGTTCAATCCGCTACTGGCCACAGTGTCCTCAAATGGGCTAATCGGAGGCCAGGAGCTGAGAGCGTCTACAGGTCTCCGGCGGCATGGGTGCAGGGGTCCAAGGACTTGGGCCATCTTCATTGCTTTCGCAGGCCATCACCAGGGAGCTGGGTGGAAGTGGAGCAGCCAGCACACAAGCCAGTGCCCATATGGGATGCTGGCGCCGCAGGTGGAGGCTTAACCTACTGCTCTACACTGCCGACCCAGGAGTGCAGCCACTTTCATCTAAGTTTGGGCTCAGGGTTTTTTGTTGTTGTTGTTAAGATTGATTTATTTACTTCACTGGCAGAGTGACAGGAGAGAAAGAGGCAAGAGAGACAGAGAGAGAGAGGGAGAGAGAGAGGGAGAAAGAGAGACAGAGAGGTCTTTGATCCAATGGGTCACTCCCCAAAGGGCCACAACAGCCGGTGCTGAGCTGATCCAAAGCCAGGAGCCAGGAGCTTCTTCTGGGTCTACCACGTGGATAAGGGGGCCAAGTCCATGGCCCATGTTCCACTGCCTTCTCGTGTCTTAGCAGAGAGCTGCATTGGAAGTGGAGCAGCTGGGACTCCAACCGGTGCCCATATGGTATCTCGATGTCATAGGCAGATGTTCAACCTACTATGCCACAGCGCCGCCCCAGGATGTCGTCTTGTCCCTTCCCTTCCCTTCCCTTCCCTTCCCTTCCCTTCCCTTCCCTTCCCTTCCCTTCCCTTCCCTTCCCTTCCCTTCCCTTCCCTTCCCTCCCTCCCTCCCTCTCTTCTCTTCTCTTCTCTTCTCTTCTCTTCTCTTCTCTTCTCTTCTCTTCTCTTCTCTTCTCTTCTCTTCTCTTCTCTTCTCTTCTCTTCTCTTCTCTTCTCTTCTTTCTCTTCTTCTTTTCAGTTGTTGACTTGAAAGGCAGAGTTGGAGGAAGGGACAGGGAGAGAGATCCAGAAGGATGACTCTGAATTGCTGATTTAATCTCCCAGAAGCCCATGCTGGCTGAGGCTGAGTCAGGCTGAAGCCAGGAGCCTGGAACACCTTCTGGGCCTGGCACACAGGTGGCAGGGCCGGGGGCACTTGGGTCAACTTGTGCTGCTCTGCCAGGTGTGTGAGCAGGGAGCTGGAATGAAAGCAGGGCTCCAGGAGCAGAACCGGGGTTCTGATGTGGGATGCCAGCCCTGCAGGTGGGGCTTTAGCCTGTGGGCCACAGCGCCAGCCCCATGGGCCTAGGTGGCGGAAAACCTTCCAGGGGTTCCTGTGAAAGGATGTTCTGCCTCTCAGGACCCCTGAATCAGAGAAGGGGGAATCCACGTTGTAACAGGTGCCCGAGTCTACCTTCCCGACCTCCATCAGAGCTCAGGATCCCTGTTGGAGGTGGCTTTTTCATGCTGTAGGTGGAATTGAGCTGTCCTGAGGGCACGTGCAGGTAGGGAGGTGACACTCAGAAGGAGAGGATGTGCAGGACTCGGGCGATGGGGAAAAGCAGGCAGAAACAAGGAATGATGGGAACGAGCCAGGCTGGTACTGGAGAAGCCTGTCCTGTGTCATGGTTGGCATGTGACACTGGGAAGGTCTTGCGGGCATTTAGAAGTGCGGGGCGGGTGAATACAGCAGAACATGAAGCCTGAGAGTGCAGATGACCCGGAGGGGAGGGGCCTGAGCGGGTCTCCTAGTCAGCATGTGGGGCAGTAGGTGGGCACAGGGCAAGAATGCTCAGGATGAGAGATGACTCTGAACTTTCGGAAAGCACTTTTGCATGCTGACCCAGGAGCACATGAATGTACCTGGGAAAAGCGACGCTGTCAACCTAGGCTTAGCACACCCAGGACGTACAGAGTGGGACGGGAAGCTAGCCGTGTGCTGTCACGTCCTGTGTGGCAGGTCGTTGGCAGGAAGAGCCTCCTGCATTCCCGAAAGCCCCAAGGGTGGTCGTGATCTGGCCTTGGGCTGTGGGCCTGCAAGGAGCCTGACCTCATGTCCTCTGCTGGTTCTGAATGTTGATGTCTCAGCTCAGCGCCCTGCCATGGGCCCCCTCCCTGCGGCAGGCCAGTGTGGGGAGCACAGATCTCTGGTCTTCTCCATGCCAGAGCTGTGCAATGGAACGCCCAGGGACGCTGCTGTCACGTGCACCTAAGACCATCACTAACTGCAGGTGGACTGCGCCTGGGTTCCACTGGACAGGTGTGCAGGGCGGAGCATGGTGGTGATCCTTGACATGTTGCAGAAGGACTGTGGGGGGACAGTGATGTCACTGGGTGTGATGCAGGCCATTCCCAGGAACACACACAGGTCAGCCCCCCAGGGCCCCGGCTTCCTCCTCCACAGGCACCCCTCAGCCCTAGTAGAACATCTGAGGCATTCGATCAGAAAATCTTCAGGGTGTGATCTGTTGGAGAAAGTCATAGCGTTCCTGACCCCTGTGCTCCCTGCTGTGCTGCCCTCTTGCTGGCCCCACGCCCATAGGGTCCCAGAGTCCGGGCTCCCGTGGGGAGGGGAGTCCTCTTCTGGGATCGGCACAGCCCTGACCTGGGCGGGGCCTCCCTCTCAGGGGGTTCCTCATCTGCCAATGGGAGTGAAGCCAGTGTCACCCCATGGCTGAGACAAGGTGCCTGGTGGACGTGGCCAGGGACCCGGAAATCCCAGGAGCTCGGGGAAGGAGCAGCCCCCGTCCTTGGGGACATGCTCTGTGTCTCCATCTTCCCAGCCGAGACCCACCCATGTGGCCTGCACAGCGGGCAGTCTGGGTCACGTGGGGTCCTGGACAAGGCCCCCCTGTCTCCTGTGCAGTGAGCACATCCCTGCTGTGATCCGTCTGTCAGTGACCCGTTGTTGAGCACAGGGCCAGAGCCTGTGACAGGTGTTGTTTGTGTGTGTCCCTGGACGGATTGTGTTCCCTCCGTGGAAGCCCCCAACCCACTCCCTGTGCACCCCTCATCCTGGAAGCTGGGGGCTCCCATTGTGTGCAGGGAGGTGCAGAGCATCGCATTCCCTGATGCGGTGATGGCTGTGGCAGGGCTGCCTTCCCATTGCACAGATGAGGACACTGAGGCTGCGGGGACAGCACCCCCGGCAGGTGCGTTCTGTGACCTCAGAGTCTGCGTCCCTGAGCATGAGGAGGCGCTGCCCCAGCCATGCCAGCGTCTCCCTGTTCCTTGCTTCCCTTGGCCTTCCCAGCATGTGGTGCTCTTTGTCCAAACGGGGAACGTTGGCTCTGCCCCTGGGGAGGTGCCCGTGTCCTCTGCAGAGGATGCAGGTCCCGGGCATTGGAGCCATGGTGCAGGGAGAGTGGGGTGGGGAGGGCACGGCCTGGGGAGCTGGCACGGTGCAAATTGTACATTCCACAGTGGGTAACAACTTACATTTTATTGAGGTTCAGGGACAATAAGGTGGAGAAAAGGAAGAGAGTGGGGAGGAGTAAAGAGAAATACAGGACGACGGGGGCGGGGAAGGCCAGGTGTGGCACTGGGGCTGCAGCAGAAGGGACTTGCGGAGCTGGGGCTGAGGCCGGGGCCAGTGCTGCGTCTGGTGCCCCTGCAGCGTCCTCGGCTTCAGCTGCTGCGTACAGTCCTGGCTCCAGGCCCTCCATCCCCAGAGCCTCTTCTCTCAGGGCCTCCCCTGAGCCCTGCTCGGCCCCCGGGGACACAGCTGTCCCCCGCGCATCCTTGTGGTGGCGCTGATCGATGGAGGACCAGCACTGCTCCAGCGGGGGTGTTGTTGGGAGATCAGGGCTCTGTGCCGCCCCAGCCGTGAGGTCAGGTGCCAGGCCCGGCCCTGACCCTGGGTCACGACTGACACAGGCGAAGTCAACGGGCCCTACTTCCTCCGCTGTGAGATGGGCATTTGCGGAGCCCCTGGGCTCTATCTGGGCTCTGACCAACAGTGTGTGACTGAGGGGGACGTCCAGTGGTTTCTGTGTGCCGGGGAACGCCCGGTACGGGGGCTTCGGAGCTGTGGGCTCGTTTGACCACTCCCCCACCACACACAGGTCATCAGTGAAAGGGGCCTGACACACGTCCTGCCTGCTGGCGATCCGCAGCCTTCTGTGCATTGCCAGGCGCGAGGCTGACCTGTCCTGGCCCTGGGAGACAAGAGCAGAGAATGGCAGGTAAGAGGCAGTCCCTGGATCCCTCCGCGGCCAGGAGCTCTGGGCCTCAGGCTGCCTCCACCTAGGACTTCCAGCCTCCCTCCTCTGAGAGGGAAGTGGCCCCTTGCCCCCCACACCCACACCCACACCCAGCCCCAGGGGCCTATGGGCTTCGGGTGGGTTCCCAGTGGTGTCCTGGCCTGGCCCGCAGAGACCTGTCCTGCTTCCAGACTCACCATGGCCGTTTTCTGTTGGAAGCACCAGGAGCGTCGGGGGTGAGGGCTGGCCCAGCGTCCCCACCACTGGGCGAGGCACCCACCGCAGGGTTTCTTGGGGGCTGGGCTTGGGCATCGCGGGATACAACTCAGGAACATCTTCCTGCGAGACTCTATCCAGGTGAGCTGGTTCAGACTCAACTCTGGAATGTTGGGGTTGTTGCCGGGCCCCCCAGGTCTCCAGGTGAGGTCACTTCCTGTGGCTCCTCAACTGAGCCCCCTCCTCTCACACAAGATGGCTGCCGAGTCCCAGCGGGCGCTGCCTGCTGCACTTCTAAGCCATGCCCTGTGCACACTGTCCCCCGTCGCACCAACAGGGGGAAGCCTCCGCCTGCCACAGCAGGTGTGGGTCCAGCCTTTGTCACAGCTGGGCTAGACCTGTTCCCCCCTGCTTGAGGGCTTCTCACCCTGCATGGTCATTGTCCCTGTCAAGACGCCCCAGCCTCCCGTGTGGTCCCTGGGGATCGTGTCCCAGTGAAGCTGGCGCCCTCAGCTGCCCAGCTGTGGACCCTGAGGAGCAAGAGCTCCCATCACACCCTGAGACCGACCGGGAGCCGCTCCCTGTGCATTGGGAGCCCTGTCCCAGCCCCTGAAGTGTGGCTCCTCCCAGCCACAGGCACCTGGAGGGTGGTTCTTCTCTCTCAAAGCCCAAAACGAGGCTGCGACCACCCAGACTCAGTTGCCCCGTGTGCACCTGGGGCTGTCTGCTCTAGGGAGCTGATGGTCAGTGGAGAACTGAGTGCTCCTAGCTCTGGCCTGCACCCCGGAGGAGTCGTGGGGTGGTCCTTTGGGTCCTGCAGGATCTGGGGCTTTAGCAGTGCACAGTGGTTCTTGAAGCTCATTCAGACTCCCAGGGGAGTTGGTTGGGCTCAGGGCCGGCTCTCTGAGGACCAGGGTGATGACTACCGTGGCCCTGCACTTGCTGATTGTTCCCCAGGGCTGGTAGGGATCGTGCCAGGCATCTCTGGGGTCTGGGCCTGCCATGAGCCTGAGGGAGGTCAGTGTGAGGAGCCAGACGGGATAGGTGGCATGTGTGAGAGAGTGTTTCCATCCAGCGTCCTGAGGAGACCCTAGACACCGGGGCTGTTCCGTGTTGGGTTTGGACAGGGGCGTGGGGAGAGATCAGGAGTGGTGTTGGGCGTGGTTCAGTGAGGAATGTCTGGGGAGTAGATGGCCGTGGTGGGGACACATAGTGTGCGTGTCCTTCCTGTTAGCTAATGGCTAGTTCCCTGTTGTGGGAATGTCCTTCCCTGAAAGATGAGGGACAGGCTCATGTGCCGGGGTTGGTGCTGACGGTGGCAGCACTGGCGATGTCGAGTGGTTTAGATGGCAGTGGCCCGTGGCCCTTCCCTGTGGGGAGCTCTCCTGTCCCCCAACCAGAGCCTGAAAAGATGCTATTTGGGTGTACTCTCGATAGTAAAGACCTCCTGTGAAAAGTTTCTGGGAGGAGTTAAGCTGCTGCTGTGCTTTGAATACTCTTTTCCTTCTTTCTCTGAGAAGTAGAGTGAGACACAGAGAGGGAGAGACAGAGAGGTCTTCCATGTGCTGGTTCAATCCGCTACTGGCCACAGTGTCCTCAAATGGGCTAATCGGAGGCCAGGAGCTGAGAGCGTCTACAGGTCTCCGGCGGCATGGGTGCAGGGGTCCAAGGACTTGGGCCATCTTCATTGCTTTCGCAGGCCATCACCAGGGAGCTGGGTGGAAGTGGAGCAGCCAGCACACAAGCCAGTGCCCATATGGGATGCTGGCGCCGCAGGTGGAGGCTTAACCTACTGCTCTACACTGCCGACCCAGGAGTGCAGCCACTTTCATCTAAGTTTGGGCTCAGGGTTTTTTGTTGTTGTTGTTAAGATTGATTTATTTACTTCACTGGCAGAGTGACAGGAGAGAAAGAGGCAAGAGAGACAGAGAGAGAGAGGGAGAGAGAGAGGGAGAAAGAGAGACAGAGAGGTCTTTGATCCAATGGGTCACTCCCCAAAGGGCCACAACAGCCGGTGCTGAGCTGATCCAAAGCCAGGAGCCAGGAGCTTCTTCTGGGTCTACCACGTGGATAAGGGGGCCAAGTCCATGGCCCATGTTCCACTGCCTTCTCGTGTCTTAGCAGAGAGCTGCATTGGAAGTGGAGCAGCTGGGACTCCAACCGGTGCCCATATGGTATCTCGATGTCATAGGCAGATGTTCAACCTACTATGCCACAGCGCCGCCCCAGGATGTCGTCTTGTCCCTTCCCTTCCCTTCCCTTCCCTTCCCTTCCCTTCCCTTCCCTTCCCTTCCCTTCCCTTCCCTTCCCTTCCCTTCCCTTCCCTTCCCTTCCCTTCCCTCTCTCTTCTCTTCTCTTCTCTTCTCTTCTCTTCTCTTCTCTTCTCTTCTCTTCTCTTCTCTTCTCTTCTCTTCTCTTCTCTTCTCTTCTCTTCTCTTCTCTTCTCTTCTCTTCTTTTCTCTTCTTCTTTTCAGTTGTTGACTTGAAAGGCAGAGTTGGAGGAAGGGACAGGGAGAGAGATCCAGAAGGATGACTCTGAATTGCTGATTTAATCTCCCAGAAGCCCATGCTGGCTGAGGCTGAGTCAGGCTGAAGCCAGGAGCCTGGAACACCTTCTGGGCCTGGCACACAGGTGGCAGGGCCGGGGGCACTTGGGTCAACTTGTGCTGCTCTGCCAGGTGTGTGAGCAGGGAGCTGGAATGAAAGCAGGGCTCCAGGAGCAGAACCGGGGTTCTGATGTGGGATGCCAGCCCTGCAGGTGGGGCTTTAGCCTGTGGGCCACAGCGCCAGCCCCATGGGCCTAGGTGGCGGAAAACCTTCCAGGGGTTCCTGTGAAAGGATGTTCTGCCTCTCAGGACCCCTGAATCAGAGAAGGGGGAATCCACGTTGTAACAGGTGCCCGAGTCTACCTTCCCGACCTCCATCAGAGCTCAGGATCCCTGTTGGAGGTGGCTTTTTCATGCTGTAGGTGGAATTGAGCTGTCCTGAGGGCACGTGCAGGTAGGGAGGTGACACTCAGAAGGAGAGGATGTGCAGGACTCGGGCGATGGGGAAAAGCAGGCAGAAACAAGGAATGATGGGAACGAGCCAGGCTGGTACTGGAGAAGCCTGTCCTGTGTCATGGTTGGCATGTGACACTGGGAAGGTCTTGCGGGCATTTAGAAGTGCGGGGCGGGTGAATACAGCAGAACATGAAGCCTGAGAGTGCAGATGACCCGGAGGGGAGGGGCCTGAGCGGGTCTCCTAGTCAGCATGTGGGGCAGTAGCTGGGCACAGGGCAAGAATGCTCAGGATGAGAGATGACTCTGAACTTTCGGAAAGCACTTTTGCATGCTGACCCAGGAGCACATGAATGTACCTGGGAAAAGCGACGCTGTCAACCTAGGCTTAGCACACCCAGGACGTACAGAGTGGGACGGGAAGCTAGCCGTGTGCTGTCACGTCCTGTGTGGCAGGTCGTTGGCAGGAAGAGCCTCCTGCATTCCCGAAAGCCCCAAGGGTGGTCGTGATCTGGCCTTGGGCTGTGGGCCTGCAAGGAGCCTGACCTCATGTCCTCTGCTGGTTCTGAATGTTGATGTCTCAGCTCAGCGCCCTGCCATGGGCCCCCTCCCTGCGGCAGGCCAGTGTGGGGAGCACAGATCTCTGGTCTTCTCCATGCCAGAGCTGTGCAATGGAACGCCCAGGGACGCTGCTGTCACGTGCACCTAAGACCATCACTAACTGCAGGTGGACTGCGCCTGGGTTCCACTGGACAGGTGTGCAGGGCGGAGCATGGTGGTGATCCTTGACATGTTGCAGAAGGACTGTGGGGGGACAGTGATGTCACTGGGTGTGATGCAGGCCATTCCCAGGAACACACACAGGTCAGCCCCCCAGGGCCCCGGCTTCCTCCTCCACAGGCACCCCTCAGCCCTAGTAGAACATCTGAGGCATTCGATCAGAAAATCTTCAGGGTGTGATCTGTTGGAGAAAGTCATAGCGTTCCTGACCCCTGTGCTCCCTGCTGTGCTGCCCTCTTGCTGGCCCCCACGCCCATAGGGTCCCAGAGTCCGGGCTCCCGTGGGGAGGGGAGTCCTCTTCTGGGATCGGCACAGCCCTGACCTGGGCGGGGCCTCCCTCTCAGGGGGTTCCTCATCTGCCAATGGGAGTGAAGCCAGTGTCACCCCATGGCTGAGACAAGGTGCCTGGTGGACGTGGCCAGGGACCCGGAAATCCCAGGAGCTCGGGGAAGGAGCAGCCCCCGTCCTTGGGGACATGCTCTGTGTCTCCATCTTCCCAGCCGAGACCCACCCATGTGGCCTGCACAGCGGGCAGTCTGGGTCACGTGGGGTCCTGGACAAGGCCCCCCTGTCTCCTGTGCAGTGAGCACATCCCTGCTGTGATCCGTCTGTCAGTGACCCGTTGTTGAGCACAGGGCCAGAGCCTGTGACAGGTGTTGTTTGTGTGTGTCCCTGGACGGATTGTGTTCCCTCCGTGGAAGCCCCCAACCCACTCCCTGTGCACCCCTCATCCTGGAAGCTGGGGGCTCCCATTGTGTGCAGGGAGGTGCAGAGCATCGCATTCCCTGATGCGGTGATGGCTGTGGCAGGGCTGCCTTCCCATTGCACAGATGAGGACACTGAGGCTGCGGGGACAGCACCCCCGGCAGGTGCGTTCTGTGACCTCAGAGTCTGCGTCCCTGAGCATGAGGAGGCGCTGCCCCAGCCATGCCAGCGTCTCCCTGTTCCTTGCTTCCCTTGGCCTTCCCAGCATGTGGTGCTCTTTGTCCAAACGGGGAACGTTGGCTCTGCCCCTGGGGAGGTGCCCGTGTCCTCTGCAGAGGATGCAGGTCCCGGGCATTGGAGCCATGGTGCAGGGAGAGTGGGGTGGGGAGGGCACGGCCTGGGGAGCTGGCACGGTGCAAATTGTACATTCCACAGTGGGTAACAACTTACATTTTATTGAGGTTCAGGGACAATAAGGTGGAGAAAAGGAAGAGAGTGGGGAGGAGTAAAGAGAAATACAGGACGACGGGGGCGGGGAAGGCCAGGTGTGGCACTGGGGCTGCAGCAGAAGGGACTTGCGGAGCTGGGGCTGAGGCCGGGGCCAGTGCTGCGTCTGGTGCCCCTGCAGCGTCCTCGGCTTCAGCTGCTGCGTACAGTCCTGGCTCCAGGACCCTCCATCCCCAGAGCCTCTTCTCTCAGGGCCTCCCCTGAGCCCTGCTCGGCCCCCGGGGACACAGCTGTCCCCCGCGCATCCTTGTGGTGGCGCTGATCGATGGAGGACCAGCACTGCTCCAGCGGGGGTGTTGTTGGGAGATCAGGGCTCTGTGCCGCCCCAGCCGTGAGGTCAGGTGCCAGGCCCGGCCCTGACCCTGGGTCACGACTGACACAGGCGAAGTCAACGGGCCCTACTTCCTCCGCTGTGAGATGGGCATTTGCGGAGCCCCTGGGCTCTATCTGGGCTCTGACCAACAGTGTGTGACTGAGGGGGACGTCCAGTGGTTTCTGTGTGCCGGGGAACGCCCGGTACGGGGGCTTCGGAGCTGTGGGCTCGTTTGACCACTCCCCCACCACACACAGGTCATCAGTGAAAGGGGCCTGACACACGTCCTGCCTGCTGGCGATCCGCAGCCTTCTGTGCATTGCCAGGCGCGAGGCTGACCTGTCCTGGCCCTGGGAGACAAGAGCAGAGAATGGCAGGTAAGAGGCAGTCCCTGGATCCCTCCGCGGCCAGGAGCTCTGGGCCTCAGGCTGCCTCCACCTAGGACTTCCAGCCTCCCTCCTCTGAGAGGGAAGTGGCCCCTTGCCCCCCACACCCACACCCACACCCAGCCCCAGGGGCCTATGGGCTTCGGGTGGGTTCCCAGTGGTGTCCTGGCCCGCAGAGACCTGTCCTGCTTCCAGACTCACCATGGCCGTTTTCTGTTGGAAGCACCAGGAGCGTCGGGGGTGAGGGCTGGCCCAGCGTCCCCACCACTGGGCGAGGCACCCACCGCAGGGTTTCTTGGGGGCTGGGCTTGGGCATCGCGGGATACAACTCAGGAACATCTTCCTGCGAGACTCTATCCAGGTGAGCTGGTTCAGACTCAACTCTGGAATGTTGGGGTTGTTGCCGGGCCCCCCAGGTCTCCAGGTGAGGTCACTTCCTGTGGCTCCTCAACTGAGCCCCCTCCTCTCACACAAGATGGCTGCCGAGTCCCAGCGGGCGCTGCCTGCTGCACTTCTAAGCCATGCCCTGTGCACACTGTCCCCCGTCGCACCAACAGGGGGAAGCCTCCGCCTGCCACAGCAGGTGTGGGTCCAGCCTTTGTCACAGCTGGGCTAGACCTGTTCCCCCCTGCTTGAGGGCTTCTCACCCTGCATGGTCATTGTCCCTGTCAAGACGCCCCAGCCTCCCGTGTGGTCCCTGGGGATCGTGTCCCAGTGAAGCTGGCGCCCTCAGCTGCCCAGCTGTGGACCCTGAGGAGCAAGAGCTCCCATCACACCCTGAGACCGACCGGGAGCCGCTCCCTGTGCATTGGGAGCCCTGTCCCAGCCCCTGAAGTGTGGCTCCTCCCAGCCACAGGCACCTGGAGGGTGGTTCTTCTCTCTCAAAGCCCAAAACGAGGCTGCGACCACCCAGACTCAGTTGCCCCGTGTGCACCTGGGGCTGTCTGCTCTAGGGAGCTGATGGTCAGTGGAGAACTGAGTGCTCCTAGCTCTGGCCTGCACCCCGGAGGAGTCGTGGGGTGGTCCTTTGGGTCCTGCAGGATCTGGGGCTTTAGCAGTGCACAGTGGTTCTTGAAGCTCATTCAGACTCCCAGGGGAGTTGGTTGGGCTCAGGGCCGGCTCTCTGAGGACCAGGGTGATGACTACCGTGGCCCTGCACTTGCTGATTGTTCCCCAGGGCTGGTAGGGATCGTGCCAGCCATCTCTGGGGTCTGGGCCTGCCATGAGCCTGAGGGAGGTCAGTGTGAGGAGCCAGACGGGATAGGTGGCATGTGTGAGAGAGTGTTTCCATCCAGCGTCCTGAGGAGACCCTAGACACCGGGGCTGTTCCGTGTTGGGTTTGGACAGGGGCGTGGGGAGAGATCAGGAGTGGTGTTGGGCGTGGTTCAGTGAGGAATGTCTGGGGAGTAGATGGCCGTGGTGGGGACACATAGTGTGCGTGTCCTTCCTGTTAGCTAATGGCTAGTTCCCTGTTGTGGGAATGTCCTTCCCTGAAAGATGAGGGACAGGCTCATGTGCCGGGGTTGGTGCTGACGGTGGCAGCACTGGCGATGTCGAGTGGTTTAGATGGCAGTGGCCCGTGGCCCTTCCCTGTGGGGAGCTCTCCTGTCCCCCAACCAGAGCCTGAAAAGATGCTATTTGGGTGTACTCTCGATAGTAAAGACCTCCTGTGAAAAGTTTCTGGGAGGAGTTAAGCTGCTGCTGTGCTTTGAATACTCTTTTCCTTCTTTCTCTGAGAAGTAGAGTGAGACACAGAGAGGGAGAGACAGAGAGGTCTTCCATGTGCTGGTTCAATCCGCTACTGGCCACAGTGTCCTCAAATGGGCTAATCGGAGGCCAGGAGCTGAGAGCGTCTACAGGTCTCCGGCGGCATGGGTGCAGGGGTCCAAGGACTTGGGCCATCTTCATTGCTTTCGCAGGCCATCACCAGGGAGCTGGGTGGAAGTGGAGCAGCCAGCACACAAGCCAGTGCCCATATGGGATGCTGGCGCCGCAGGTGGAGGCTTAACCTACTGCTCTACACTGCCGACCCAGGAGTGCAGCCACTTTCATCTAAGTTTGGGCTCAGGGTTTTTTGTTGTTGTTGTTAAGATTGATTTATTTACTTCACTGGCAGAGTGACAGGAGAGAAAGAGGCAAGAGAGACAGAGAGAGAGAGGGAGAGAGAGAGGGAGAAAGAGAGACAGAGAGGTCTTTGATCCAATGGGTCACTCCCCAAAGGGCCACAACAGCCGGTGCTGAGCTGATCCAAAGCCAGGAGCCAGGAGCTTCTTCTGGGTCTACCACGTGGATAAGGGGGCCAAGTCCATGGCCCATGTTCCACTGCCTTCTCGTGTCTTAGCAGAGAGCTGCATTGGAAGTGGAGCAGCTGGGACTCCAACCGGTGCCCATATGGTATCTCGATGTCATAGGCAGATGTTCAACCTACTATGCCACAGCGCCGCCCCAGGATGTCGTCTTGTCCCTTCCCTTCCCTTCCCTTCCCTTCCCTTCCCTTCCCTTCCCTTCCCTTCCCTTCCCTTCCCTTCCCTTCCCTTCCCTTCCCTCCCTCCCTCCCCTCCCTTCTCTTCTCTTCTCTTCTCTTCTCTTCTCTTCTCTTCTCTTCTCTTCTCTCTTCTCTTCTCTTCTCTTCTCTTCTCTTCTCTTCTCTTCTCTTCTCTTCTCTTCTTTTCTCTTCTTCTTTTCAGTTGTTGACTTGAAAGGCAGAGTTGGAGGAAGGGACAGGGAGAGAGATCCAGAAGGATGACTCTGAATTGCTGATTTAATCTCCCAGAAGCCCATGCTGGCTGAGGCTGAGTCAGGCTGAAGCCAGGAGCCTGGAAGACCTTCTGGGCCTGGCACACAGGTGGCAGGGCCGGGGGCACTTGGGTCAACTTGTGCTGCTCTGCCAGGTGTGTGAGCAGGGAGCTGGAATGAAAGCAGGGCTCCAGGAGCAGAACCGGGGTTCTGATGTGGGATGCCAGCCCTGCAGGTGGGGCTTTAGCCTGTGGGCCACAGCGCCAGCCCCATGGGCCTAGGTGGCGGAAAACCTTCCAGGGGTTCCTGTGAAAGGATGTTCTGCCTCTCAGGACCCCTGAATCAGAGAAGGGGGAATCCACGTTGTAACAGGTGCCCGAGTCTACCTTCCCGACCTCCATCAGAGCTCAGGATCCCTGTTGGAGGTGGCTTTTTCATGCTGTAGGTGGAATTGAGCTGTCCTGAGGGCACGATGCAGGTAGGGAGGTGACACTCAGAAGGAGAGGATGTGCAGGACTCGGGCGATGGGGAAAAGCAGGCAGAAACAAGGAATGATGGGAACGAGCCAGGCTGGTACTGGAGAAGCCTGTCCTGTGTCATGGTTGGCATGTGACACTGGGAAGGTCTTGCGGGCATTTAGAAGTGCGGGGCGGGTGAATACAGCAGAACATGAAGCCTGAGAGTGCAGATGACCCGGAGGGGAGGGGCCTGAGCGGGTCTCCTAGTCAGCATGTGGGGCAGTAGCTGGGCACAGGGCAAGAATGCTCAGGATGAGAGATGACTCTGAACTTTCGGAAAGCACTTTTGCATGCTGACCCAGGAGCACATGAATGTACCTGGGAAAAGCGACGCTGTCAACCTAGGCTTAGCACACCCAGGACGTACAGAGTGGGACGGGAAGCTAGCCGTGTGCTGTCACGTCCTGTGTGGCAGGTCGTTGGCAGGAAGAGCCTCCTGCATTCCCGAAAGCCCCAAGGGTGGTCGTGATCTGGCCTTGGGCTGTGGGCCTGCAAGGAGCCTGACCTCATGTCCTCTGCTGGTTCTGAATGTTGATGTCTCAGCTCAGCGCCCTGCCATGGGCCCCCTCCCTGCGGCAGGCCAGTGTGGGGAGCACAGATCTCTGGTCTTCTCCATGCCAGAGCTGTGCAATGGAACGCCCAGGGACGCTGCTGTCACGTGCACCTAAGACCATCACTAACTGCAGGTGGACTGCGCCTGGGTTCCACTGGACAGGTGTGCAGGGCGGAGCATGGTGGTGATCCTTGACATGTTGCAGAAGGACTGTGGGGGGACAGTGATGTCACTGGGTGTGATGCAGGCCATTCCCAGGAACACACACAGGTCAGCCCCCCAGGGCCCCGGCTTCCTCCTCCACAGGCACCCCTCAGCCCTAGTAGAACATCTGAGGCATTCGATCAGAAAATCTTCAGGGTGTGATCTGTTGGAGAAAGTCATAGCGTTCCTGACCCCTGTGCTCCCTGCTGTGCTGCCCTCTTGCTGGCCCCCACGCCCATAGGGTCCCAGAGTCCGGGCTCCCGTGGGGAGGGGAGTCCTCTTCTGGGATCGGCACAGCCCTGACCTGGGCGGGGCCTCCCTCTCAGGGGGTTCCTCATCTGCCAATGGGAGTGAAGCCAGTGTCACCCCATGGCTGAGACAAGGTGCCTGGTGGACGTGGCCAGGGACCCGGAAATCCCAGGAGCTCGGGGAAGGAGCAGCCCCCGTCCTTGGGGACATGCTCTGTGTCTCCATCTTCCCAGCCGAGACCCACCCATGTGGCCTGCACAGCGGGCAGTCTGGGTCACGTGGGGTCCTGGACAAGGCCCCCCTGTCTCCTGTGCAGTGAGCACATCCCTGCTGTGATCCGTCTGTCAGTGACCCGTTGTTGAGCACAGGGCCAGAGCCTGTGACAGGTGTTGTTTGTGTGTGTCCCTGGACGGATTGTGTTCCCTCCGTGGAAGCCCCCAACCCACTCCCTGTGCACCCCTCATCCTGGAAGCTGGGGGCTCCCATTGTGTGCAGGGAGGTGCAGAGCATCGCATTCCCTGATGCGGTGATGGCTGTGGCAGGGCTGCCTTCCCATTGCACAGATGAGGACACTGAGGCTGCGGGGACAGCACCCCCGGCAGGTGCGTTCTGTGACCTCAGAGTCTGCGTCCCTGAGCATGAGGAGGCGCTGCCCCAGCCATGCCAGCGTCTCCCTGTTCCTTGCTTCCCTTGGCCTTCCCAGCATGTGGTGCTCTTTGTCCAAACGGGGAACGTTGGCTCTGCCCCTGGGGAGGTGCCCGTGTCCTCTGCAGAGGATGCAGGTCCCGGGCATTGGAGCCATGGTGCAGGGAGAGTGGGGTGGGGAGGGCACGGCCTGGGGAGCTGGCACGGTGCAAATTGTACATTCCACAGTGGGTAACAACTTACATTTTATTGAGGTTCAGGGACAATAAGGTGGAGAAAAGGAAGAGAGTGGGGAGGAGTAAAGAGAAATACAGGACGACGGGGGCGGGGAAGGCCAGGTGTGGCACTGGGGCTGCAGCAGAAGGGACTTGCGGAGCTGGGGCTGAGGCCGGGGCCAGTGCTGCGTCTGGTGCCCCTGCAGCGTCCTCGGCTTCAGCTGCTGCGTACAGTCCTGGCTCCAGACCCTCCATCCCCAGAGCCTCTTCTCTCAGGGCCTCCCCTGAGCCCTGCTCGGCCCCCGGGGACACAGCTGTCCCCCGCGCATCCTTGTGGTGGCGCTGATCGATGGAGGACCAGCACTGCTCCAGCGGGGGTGTTGTTGGGAGATCAGGGCTCTGTGCCGCCCCAGCCGTGAGGTCAGGTGCCAGGCCCGGCCCTGACCCTGGGTCACGACTGACACAGGCGAAGTCAACGGGCCCTACTTCCTCCGCTGTGAGATGGGCATTTGCGGAGCCCCTGGGCTCTATCTGGGCTCTGACCAACAGTGTGTGACTGAGGGGGACGTCCAGTGGTTTCTGTGTGCCGGGGAACGCCCGGTACGGGGGCTTCGGAGCTGTGGGCTCGTTTGACCACTCCCCCACCACACACAGGTCATCAGTGAAAGGGGCCTGACACACGTCCTGCCTGCTGGCGATCCGCAGCCTTCTGTGCATTGCCAGGCGCGAGGCTGACCTGTCCTGGCCCTGGGAGACAAGAGCAGAGAATGGCAGGTAAGAGGCAGTCCCTGGATCCCTCCGCAGGCCAGGAGCTCTGGGCCTCAGGCTGCCTCCACCTAGGACTTCCAGCCTCCCTCCTCTGAGAGGGAAGTGGCCCCTTGCCCCCCACACCCACACCCACACCCACCCCCAGGGGCCTATGGGCTTCGGGTGGGTTCCCAGTGGTGTCCTGGCCCGCAGAGACCTGTCCTGCTTCCAGACTCACCATGGCCGTTTTCTGTTGGAAGCACCAGGAGCGTCGGGGGTGAGGGCTGGCCCAGCGTCCCCACCACTGGGCGAGGCACCCACCGCAGGGTTTCTTGGGGGCTGGGCTTGGGCATCGCGGGATACAACTCAGGAACATCTTCCTGCGAGACTCTATCCAGGTGAGCTGGTTCAGACTCAACTCTGGAATGTTGGGGTTGTTGCCGGGCCCCCCAGGTCTCCAGGTGAGGTCACTTCCTGTGGCTCCTCAACTGAGCCCCCTCCTCTCACACAAGATGGCTGCCGAGTCCCAGCGGGCGCTGCCTGCTGCACTTCTAAGCCATGCCCTGTGCACACTGTCCCCCGTCGCACCAACAGGGGGAAGCCTCCGCCTGCCACAGCAGGTGTGGGTCCAGCCTTTGTCACAGCTGGGCTAGACCTGTTCCCCCCTGCTTGAGGGCTTCTCACCCTGCATGGTCATTGTCCCTGTCAAGACGCCCCAGCCTCCCGTGTGGTCCCTGGGGATCGTGTCCCAGTGAAGCTGGCGCCCTCAGCTGCCCAGCTGTGGACCCTGAGGAGCAAGAGCTCCCATCACACCCTGAGACCGACCGGGAGCCGCTCCCTGTGCATTGGGAGCCCTGTCCCAGCCCCTGAAGTGTGGCTCCTCCCAGCCACAGGCACCTGGAGGGTGGTTCTTCTCTCTCAAAGCCCAAAACGAGGCTGCGACCACCCAGACTCAGTTGCCCCGTGTGCACCTGGGGCTGTCTGCTCTAGGGAGCTGATGGTCAGTGGAGAACTGAGTGCTCCTAGCTCTGGCCTGCACCCCGGAGGAGTCGTGGGGTGGTCCTTTGGGTCCTGCAGGATCTGGGGCTTTAGCAGTGCACAGTGGTTCTTGAAGCTCATTCAGACTCCCAGGGGAGTTGGTTGGGCTCAGGGCCGGCTCTCTGAGGACCAGGGTGATGACTACCGTGGCCCTGCACTTGCTGATTGTTCCCCAGGGCTGGTAGGGATCGTGCCAGCCATCTCTGGGGTCTGGGCCTGCCATGAGCCTGAGGGAGGTCAGTGTGAGGAGCCAGACGGGATAGGTGGCATGTGTGAGAGAGTGTTTCCATCCAGCGTCCTGAGGAGACCCTAGACACCGGGGCTGTTCCGTGTTGGGTTTGGACAGGGGCGTGGGGAGAGATCAGGAGTGGTGTTGGGCGTGGTTCAGTGAGGAATGTCTGGGGAGTAGATGGCCGTGGTGGGGACACATAGTGTGCGTGTCCTTCCTGTTAGCTAATGGCTAGTTCCCTGTTGTGGGAATGTCCTTCCCTGAAAGATGAGGGACAGGCTCATGTGCCGGGGTTGGTGCTGACGGTGGCAGCACTGGCGATGTCGAGTGGTTTAGATGGCAGTGGCCCGTGGCCCTTCCCTGTGGGGAGCTCTCCTGTCCCCCAACCAGAGCCTGAAAAGATGCTATTTGGGTGTACTCTCGATAGTAAAGACCTCCTGTGAAAAGTTTCTGGGAGGAGTTAAGCTGCTGCTGTGCTTTGAATACTCTTTTCCTTCTTTCTCTGAGAAGTAGAGTGAGACACAGAGAGGGAGAGACAGAGAGGTCTTCCATGTGCTGGTTCAATCCGCTACTGGCCACAGTGTCCTCAAATGGGCTAATCGGAGGCCAGGAGCTGAGAGCGTCTACAGGTCTCCGGCGGCATGGGTGCAGGGGTCCAAGGACTTGGGCCATCTTCATTGCTTTCGCAGGCCATCACCAGGGAGCTGGGTGGAAGTGGAGCAGCCAGCACACAAGCCAGTGCCCATATGGGATGCTGGCGCCGCAGGTGGAGGCTTAACCTACTGCTCTACACTGCCGACCCAGGAGTGCAGCCACTTTCATCTAAGTTTGGGCTCAGGGTTTTTTGTTGTTGTTGTTAAGATTGATTTATTTACTTCACTGGCAGAGTGACAGGAGAGAAAGAGGCAAGAGAGACAGAGAGAGAGAGGGAGAGAGAGAGGGAGAAAGAGAGACAGAGAGGTCTTTGATCCAATGGGTCACTCCCCAAAGGGCCACAACAGCCGGTGCTGAGCTGATCCAAAGCCAGGAGCCAGGAGCTTCTTCTGGGTCTACCACGTGGATAAGGGGGCCAAGTCCATGGCCCATGTTCCACTGCCTTCTCGTGTCTTAGCAGAGAGCTGCATTGGAAGTGGAGCAGCTGGGACTCCAACCGGTGCCCATATGGTATCTCGATGTCATAGGCAGATGTTCAACCTACTATGCCACAGCGCCGCCCCAGGATGTCGTCTTGTCCCTTCCCTTCCCTTCCCTTCCCTTCCCTTCCCTTCCCTTCCCTTCCCTTCCCTTCCCTTCCCTTCCCTTCCCTTCCCTTCCCTTCCCTCCCTCCCTCCCTCCTCCCCTCTCTTTCTCTTCTCTTCTCTTCTCTTCTCTTCTCTTCTCTTCTCTTCTCTTCTCTTCTCTTCTCTTCTCTTCTCTTCTCTTCTCTTCTCTTCTCTTCTCTTCTCTTCTCTTCTTTTCTCTTCTTCTTTTCAGTTGTTGACTTGAAAGGCAGAGTTGGAGGAAGGGACAGGGAGAGAGATCCAGAAGGATGACTCTGAATTGCTGATTTAATCTCCCAGAAGCCCATGCTGGCTGAGGCTGAGTCAGGCTGAAGCCAGGAGCCTGGAACACCTTCTGGGCCTGGCACACAGGTGGCAGGGCCGGGGGCACTTGGGTCAACTTGTGCTGCTCTGCCAGGTGTGTGAGCAGGGAGCTGGAATGAAAGCAGGGCTCCAGGAGCAGAACCGGGGTTCTGATGTGGGATGCCAGCCCTGCAGGTGGGGCTTTAGCCTGTGGGCCACAGCGCCAGCCCCATGGGCCTAGGTGGCGGAAAACCTTCCAGGGGTTCCTGTGAAAGGATGTTCTGCCTCTCAGGACCCCTGAATCAGAGAAGGGGGAATCCACGTTGTAACAGGTGCCCGAGTCTACCTTCCCGACCTCCATCAGAGCTCAGGATCCCTGTTGGAGGTGGCTTTTTCATGCTGTAGGTGGAATTGAGCTGTCCTGAGGGCACGAGCAGGTAGGGAGGTGACACTCAGAAGGAGAGGATGTGCAGGACTCGGGCGATGGGGAAAAGCAGGCAGAAACAAGGAATGATGGGAACGAGCCAGGCTGGTACTGGAGAAGCCTGTCCTGTGTCATGGTTGGCATGTGACACTGGGAAGGTCTTGCGGGCATTTAGAAGTGCGGGGCGGGTGAATACAGCAGAACATGAAGCCTGAGAGTGCAGATGACCCGGAGGGGAGGGGCCTGAGCGGGTCTCCTAGTCAGCATGTGGGGCAGTAGCTGGGCACAGGGCAAGAATGCTCAGGATGAGAGATGACTCTGAACTTTCGGAAAGCACTTTTGCATGCTGACCCAGGAGCACATGAATGTACCTGGGAAAAGCGACGCTGTCAACCTAGGCTTAGCACACCCAGGACGTACAGAGTGGGACGGGAAGCTAGCCGTGTGCTGTCACGTCCTGTGTGGCAGGTCGTTGGCAGGAAGAGCCTCCTGCATTCCCGAAAGCCCCAAGGGTGGTCGTGATCTGGCCTTGGGCTGTGGGCCTGCAAGGAGCCTGACCTCATGTCCTCTGCTGGTTCTGAATGTTGATGTCTCAGCTCAGCGCCCTGCCATGGGCCCCCTCCCTGCGGCAGGCCAGTGTGGGGAGCACAGATCTCTGGTCTTCTCCATGCCAGAGCTGTGCAATGGAACGCCCAGGGACGCTGCTGTCACGTGCACCTAAGACCATCACTAACTGCAGGTGGACTGCGCCTGGGTTCCACTGGACAGGTGTGCAGGGCGGAGCATGGTGGTGATCCTTGACATGTTGCAGAAGGACTGTGGGGGGACAGTGATGTCACTGGGTGTGATGCAGGCCATTCCCAGGAACACACACAGGTCAGCCCCCCAGGGCCCCGGCTTCCTCCTCCACAGGCACCCCTCAGCCCTAGTAGAACATCTGAGGCATTCGATCAGAAAATCTTCAGGGTGTGATCTGTTGGAGAAAGTCATAGCGTTCCTGACCCCTGTGCTCCCTGCTGTGCTGCCCTCTTGCTGGCCCACAGGCCCATAGGGTCCCAGAGTCCGGGCTCCCGTGGGGAGGGGAGTCCTCTTCTGGGATCGGCACAGCCCTGACCTGGGCGGGGCCTCCCTCTCAGGGGGTTCCTCATCTGCCAATGGGAGTGAAGCCAGTGTCACCCCATGGCTGAGACAAGGTGCCTGGTGGACGTGGCCAGGGACCCGGAAATCCCAGGAGCTCGGGGAAGGAGCAGCCCCCGTCCTTGGGGACATGCTCTGTGTCTCCATCTTCCCAGCCGAGACCCACCCATGTGGCCTGCACAGCGGGCAGTCTGGGTCACGTGGGGTCCTGGACAAGGCCCCCCTGTCTCCTGTGCAGTGAGCACATCCCTGCTGTGATCCGTCTGTCAGTGACCCGTTGTTGAGCACAGGGCCAGAGCCTGTGACAGGTGTTGTTTGTGTGTGTCCCTGGACGGATTGTGTTCCCTCCGTGGAAGCCCCCAACCCACTCCCTGTGCACCCCTCATCCTGGAAGCTGGGGGCTCCCATTGTGTGCAGGGAGGTGCAGAGCATCGCATTCCCTGATGCGGTGATGGCTGTGGCAGGGCTGCCTTCCCATTGCACAGATGAGGACACTGAGGCTGCGGGGACAGCACCCCCGGCAGGTCCGTTCTGTGACCTCAGAGTCTGCGTCCCTGAGCATGAGGAGGCGCTGCCCCAGCCATGCCAGCGTCTCCCTGTTCCTTGCTTCCCTTGGCCTTCCCAGCATGTGGTGCTCTTTGTCCAAACGGGGAACGTTGGCTCTGCCCCTGGGGAGGTGCCCGTGTCCTCTGCAGAGGATGCAGGTCCCGGGCATTGGAGCCATGGTGCAGGGAGAGTGGGGTGGGGAGGGCACGGCCTGGGGAGCTGGCACGGTGCAAATTGTACATTCCACAGTGGGTAACAACTTACATTTTATTGAGGTTCAGGGACAATAAGGTGGAGAAAAGGAAGAGAGTGGGGAGGAGTAAAGAGAAATACAGGACGACGGGGGCGGGGAAGGCCAGGTGTGGCACTGGGGCTGCAGCAGAAGGGACTTGCGGAGCTGGGGCTGAGGCCGGGGCCAGTGCTGCGTCTGGTGCCCCTGCAGCGTCCTCGGCTTCAGCTGCTGCGTACAGTCCTGGCTCCAGACCCTCCATCCCCAGAGCCTCTTCTCTCAGGGCCTCCCCTGAGCCCTGCTCGGCCCCCGGGGACACAGCTGTCCCCCGCGCATCCTTGTGGTGGCGCTGATCGATGGAGGACCAGCACTGCTCCAGCGGGGGTGTTGTTGGGAGATCAGGGCTCTGTGCCGCCCCAGCCGTGATGTCAGGTTCCATAGTCAGAGTTTGGGGTCAGCTTTGAATTTCGGGCGAAGGGGTTGGTATCCTTGGTTGAAGTGGTAGAGTAGCATCATGTTCTTAAAATGGTCTTGAGTGATGGCTTTGATGTGATTCTGTAAAAAAATTTGGAACCAATTAAATAGGGATGGGTCTCAATAGCAGGGCCATAAGAATGACTGTGACTGGCCAGAGAAAAGGAGCTAACCATGACCCTGTCTCAGTGCAGTCCAGCCCTTGTTTCATTGGTTTCAGCCCTCTGCTGGAGGCAGTAGCCTGTTGTTGATTTTATCTAGGGAGTTGGTTACCACTTTGGATTGATTAGCGTAATAACCGCGCTCTTCTCCCAGGAAAAGACAGGTTCTGACCTATTGTGCTGTCAGGAGATCTAGTGCTTTGGTGTTTTGCAGGATGCCAGGGAGTTTGTTCTTGTAAGGTGGATGCAGCCTGGTGGAGGCTTCCAAGTCAGTGTCTGTTAGGCCAGTTGGTTTAGGGAGTGTGGAGATGGAGCCTAGGGCTGCACTTCCCACCCCCAACAGGGCTAGGAGAGTGAGGACAACAGCAGGGGCCTTCCTGAAGCTGAAACTGGAGTTGAGTTTATTTGGGATCTAAGTGCTGTTTCCTGGGTGTAGATAAAAATAGGAATGAGTATTACTGGGCACAGGGAGGATGGGCAGGGGTGATGGTTTTTAGAAGACTGTTGTGGCACACGAAATGGGTGCTATTGGAATGTCTGGTGCTGGGGCAGGAAGGGAGGCGGCCGCCGTGCCATTCTTAAAGGGACCTAGAGAAGGCTATGGGCTGCTGATGGCTGGAAGGAAAGTGAGTGAGTCTTTGGTGGTTTGTGATGTGGCTGAAGATTTACTGGAAAAGCTGAGGAAGTTTCATTTTCACAAAGAAACAATTGATGCTGCCATTATAATGAAGATTGAGAAAGATAAACACTTGGTGGTACTGGATGAGGAACTTGAGGGCATTTCTCCGGATGAACTTAAGGATGAGCTACCTGAGCGACAGCCTCGCTTCATTGTGTATAGTTCCAAATATCAACATGATGATGAAGAGTGTCGCATCCTCCGTGCTTTATTTTCTCCGGTCTTGTTGGATGTAAGCCTGAGCAGCAGGTGATGTATGCTGGAAGTAGGAATAAGCTAGTGCAGACAGCTGAGCTGCCCAAGGTATTTGAAATAAGAAATACTGAAGACCTACCTGAAGAGTGGTTACGTGGAATTTTTCCGCTAATGTGAACTTCTGTGTTTCCAAAGTATTTATATATTAACCTGACCATACTGGAACCAGACATAAATACTTATTTATGCCTAAAAATGCATTGTTACTTACAGTATGTTTCCTGCAGTAAAGAAAACGTCTTCATGTGTGCGAAGTTTGAACAACAAAGAGGAAATCATCTTCATCGTAATGAAACTTCCTAAAGCAGTTCCTTAACAATTTGTAATTGTTAGGTGGACTACTTTCCTCCAGGGGCTTTTTACACTCTTGTGATTAATTTCTATAACTTATGGTTTAGGATTTGTTACTATTTACAGAGAGCATTGGAAAGTAGGTTCTTGGACTGTGATAGACAACAGTTGCCTCCTTTTGACAAATCCTGGAAATGAGCAGTTTATAAGTGAAAATAGCATATTATCACTTGTTAAATCATTTCCGTGAATTTGGAGTGAAAGCTTTGAGAGACCCAAATTTTGAGCCATGAATAATAATTTCCTGTAGCATAATCTGTGTTACAAGGACACTTTTTTCTCAATTCCATACCTCCTTTGGTTTCCTGCTTGTTTTCACTCAGCTCTGGAAACTCTGTTCATCAGTCATTCCTTTGTTGTTTTAGATTTATTTATTTATTTGAAAGTCAGAGTTACAGAGAGAGAGAAGAGGCAGATATATATGAGCCAGGAGCTTCTTCCAGGTCTCCCACATGAATGCAGGGGCCCAAGG